GCTTAGAAAATTTTTTTAGAATTTAAAACTCCTTTAAATCTACAGTATATAAGTTTAATAAACAATATGTTTGTTCAAACTGTCATCATGTCCTGACAGATAACCAAACCTCTCTGGCTCCCCTCTGTGGTTCTACTGCCGTCTGCAGTAATGAAATGCGCCGCTTAACAGAAACATCCAATCAGAGCCAGGAGGAGGGTATTAACGCTGCCAATCAACTTTGTGTAAATGATCCAGCTATGCTAATGGCAGGGTAGAAGGCAGTTTCGTCTATATTCGTAAAGAAGCTTAAGAATCATGAATAATTTATACCACTTTGTGTTGGGCTGTCACTTTAAATCTCTGTAAAATATATTATGTTTATGGTTGTGACTTGATCAAATGTAAAGTTCAGAGAATTTGAATTCTCCAGCGAGGCACCAGCTGTGCCTCCATTACAAATGTTCACAAATCTTAGTCTGTATTCTGCTGATGGCGAAAAAACACAATTTCACAACTGCAGTGTCTCCATTAAATAAGAAATTAAATTAAAATTACACCTGAAAAAGTAAATAAAAAATCATGGCAGTGATGGACATGATATATATTCATAATTCAGTCATTGTGCTAGCACTCATCATGTATCAGCCAATCAGTTGCTCAGGTGTTGAGCAACAAGCCCCGCCTACTTGGAAGTGGCTACAGGGAAATTGTAGTCAGTGATTTTACAGAAGAGTTATGGATTCAACATGTTGGAATGAAACAACTTTTTATGACGTGATGCTGTGAGAAAAAAACAAAACAGTCCATCATCCTCCAATAACTTCTGCATTTCGCCAGTAGTAACATGCAGCTCAAAAATCAACTTATCCTCACAAAAACCTTTTATTAAAACATTGAAATTGCCATTTTTCCATTAAGTGAATTTATTAACCTAATTTCAATTTGTGCAACTTTACGGTTAATGGAAACGCAGCTGCTGCATGTCATAATGTTGAACTAAAGCCTTCACACATGAGTAAACCATCAGAATGAAATCCCTTCTGAGTAGAGTCAACTATTAGACCCCCTGTATAGTTTTGCTGTTGCTTTGACTAAACCCCAGGTTCCGTTTCCTGTGTGACAATATTGATCCGTCTGTCCCAGCAGGCCATCTGTCCCGGCGGGCCTGGCCGCAGCGCCATCCAGCCTGCCTATCAGAGCAGCAGCAGCAGCCGCCGCTCCAGCCCCCGCATCAAGTCGCAGCTTCCCATCCCGAACAGCAGGGGGCAGCAGACGCGGGCGTCCAGCGCCTGCAGCAGCAGTAATAACAACCAGACCCAGACTCCCCCCAACCTCAGGAGAGCTCCAGCTAGCAGCAGCAGAACCAAGCAGAACCCCCCCAACAACAACTTCTACCGCAACAGCATGAACGAGCGCAGCCGCTCACAAGACGATATCTGGATCCTCCACAGAGACCTGCACCATAGCAACCAGTAGGCCCACCCCACCACCACCTTCAACCATTCTCAATGTAAAGACTAGGTACCTGACGACCTTGGATTTGTACTTCTCTGTACTTGCTACACTGTACTGCAGTTGTGTACTTGGGGACCATAGTGGATTCTACTACAGTATTTGAACGACGCGCTCACCTAGGAGTGAAAACACTGTAACATTAAAAAAAAAAAAAAGAAAAGACAAAGTAAAGCAGCAGGTTGTTTTTGTTCTGTTGCCTTAATTCAAGTGTTTGAGCCCATTGCATCATGGGACGGCGTTCAGATCCAGTGTTGAACCTTCTGGAACAGCTCAGCCCTCCGGTGTACTTACAGTGAAATCGTTTTCTTCTCCTGTAGGAATAAGGTCACAGCAGAAATAAAACACATGCACACACACATGCACACTATCAGGCTTTTTGTTCTTTCTTGTTTTTTGCTATTAAGTACTTTGAGATATTCAAGTGTTTTATCTCCAGATAGTTGCAAGGTTGGTTTAAATACTGTTGAAATTAATCAGGGTTTTACCAAATATATTTGTAAATAAGAGTATGCTCTATAGGTTGGTGTACGTGGTATTACTCTTGTACAGTGATGAAACCTTAAAGAAAAACTGCTGAGGAAACTTTAAAAAATAAGAACACTAAACCTTGTACATAAGTGTTTGTAGAATAAGTTTGGTTTTAAACCCTCCACTTGTTTCAAAGTGAATGGGATGTGGCAATAAGTAATAGAAGTGTATAAACACAGGATGTCCTCTGTCAGTTGTAAGCCATAATAAATATTTTAAATGCCCAACGTTTCCACCGGATTCATGTTCATTCATTTCCAGCCTGTTTATAAATACATTAATAATAATAATAAGTGTTTAAGTCTGGAGAGTTTTGGTTTGTCCAATCATCTTCAATCAAGACATAAGTTTATAACCCAATAAATAAATGTAAAAAGAAAATGTTTTAATGTTAGACCTCAATAAATATCCAATTTTAACTACATAATCATGGCTAATACACATTTATTTAACAAGGTAGGTAATGATCCTACTGCAGTAAAAGAGAAACATACATTTTATCTTCAGGGGCGCCAATGTTTTCTTTCACTTGTGGTCAAAAAGTTCAATTAAATTATTTTCTATATTGTGATTGCAGATTAAAGAATTATTTGATGCACAAAAATCCAAATAAAAGTTATCAAATATTTGCCATTTACCGTCAATAGGATTTGAACAGTTCAGATTCTTGGCGTGTGCAGGTCTCCATAGAATCAGATTTAAATTGTCTGAATTTTTTTCTAAATCATACAGGATCAAACACACACAGACATTCACTTTATGTAATTAGTGTTGCTGAAGGTTTTCAGAGATTATCATTTAACATGACTTCCTGATTATGATTTAACGAGATGTTGGGCGACGAACACAGACAAATGGGAAAGAACAAAGAACTCTGGGAAGTTTGAAGGGAGAATTTCTGTTTTACAATTTGACAAAACAAAAAAAAGTTCAAAGGAAAACCCAAACTAATCCTGAGATTAGCGGAAATTAGTTATTATATTCCAAAATCTGGTCATGAATTGGAGACCAGAGCTTCTGTCCTGAGTCAAGACACTACTACACCAAGAAAAGACAAGTTTTATAGTCCGAAGAGACAAAGATTGAGATGTGTGTCTGGATATTTAACGCCTTTAAATATCCAGAAAATACACTTAGTACAATTTGCATTTGCATATAATTAACTCAAAATGTGCAGGATTCCTGCGTAAACACTCTATATGGCTACAATATTGTGAGCTGACACACTAAACCTTGACAGCTGCTGTTAGTCAGACTGACTCCGCTGGTGTTTAATAGTTTGTCTTGTGGAACCAAACAGCTTTTAGCAACAGGAGACAACAACAAGCAAGATCCAAAAACGTCAGCAATAAAGTTGATGTCGGGACAAAAGGAAGACGCTGCCACACAGTCAAATTCTCCAAATATAGGTTTACTCCAAATACAGATGATTGAACAAAAACACTTGCAGTTCTCTGGACATTTGTGTCCCTTTCCTATGAGTAATAAAAAGTTGTTGTTGTTTTTTTTACTTAATATATATATATATATATATATATATATATATATATATATATATATATATATATATATATATATATATATATATATATATATATATTATTCAGTTTCAAAAGCACTTTCCTCAACAAAAAGAAGAAACGATCATGTTTGAAGAATCAAAATGACTTTCCAACTTTCAAAAGAAATGATTGTTTTCTAATGGAAAAATCTACACAACAATCAGGACACATTAGTTAATGACAAGAGTTCAAACTTTAATGTTGGTTTATTTCAACGATTTGATTAGAAAATGATCTGTGAGAGCTGATGAGAGTACCTCAGGGTACCTGTAAAGTGCATACAAATAGAAAAATAGGGGTGTTTGAGTCATCTCTCAATACTTGCATCAGTCAACAACGTCATGCTTTGCAGGTGTGTGTGTGTGTGTGTGTGTGTGCGCGTGCGTATGTGTGTGCGTGTGCATGTGTGTGCTGACACCAGCGAGGCTACTTTTCGGGTCAGGAAGACTAATTGAAAGTTCTGACGTACACCATCAGAAAGCAGTTCCATGAGCTGAGTTCAAAGGTTAAACTCTGACGCATTTCTGAGGTTTATTAACCATTTAGCAGAACCGAGTCCAAATCAGAAGCAAGTACCTGTGGCTTGCTCCACAAGCAGAAAAGCTCTGTGTTTGGATGACAAGCAGGAGGAAAGTTCAACACCAGCAAGCAGCTGAATATCAAGGCATTGGTAGGTGCAGTTCCTCTAATGGCCATTAGTTGCTGGCTCTCCTTTTCAGGGGGTGTTCAAACTTTTTGATACATGGGCCAACATCTAAGTCAGAAGTACTTGAGAGTTGTTTCTGAGCAGAAGAATATTTCGGCGACTCGTTTCAAAATGCTTGTTGTATTTAAAAAGTTTTAGTAAAGTCAGTTAAAAGCAGATTTGGGTGCAGCCTTTGAGTAAAAGTCACTAGATAGTGACTTATTTAGAGACAAATAACCAACAGATTTTACTGAGTCTGTTTGGCCCCGTGCCGCAGTTTGGAAACCCTGGCTCTATATTGCATAAACCAATGACTTCACGCTTCTGCAGCCTGAACTACATCAATTTGTATGTAGTTTACATTTCATATGGCTTATTGTAAAAGACAAAATGTACCCAAGATTAAATGATGATTGAAAACTTGGACAGACCATAAATCAACCAGATAAATGTGATTTTATAACTAGGTGTGTCTGGAACTAAATCCTGAGCAGTATTTCCGTTTCTGTGGTCATAATTTTATGGTGGACACTGAACTTGAAAGGCTGCCTGTGGGAACAACAACGAAAGAGTGCCATAAAAACAGCTGGAAGAACGGAGGCGGAGTCAGTGCCTGCGGGTGGGCGGGGCCTTCCTACCAGGCAACCAAAACTAAAAAAGCTAAAAGACTGAACTGCGTTTGTTTTTAGTGGAATGGTTGGAGAAGTTATAATCTAGTTGTGTGTTCCTTCAATTACTTGAAGGAACAGCAAAGAATTCCAGAGTATGAAGCATTTCCACATGGACTTCATCCGCTCCGTCACACGGAGGATGTTTTCCCTCCCTGCTGCTCCTCCACTCACTGCTTCACACAAATCCTCGTTCACGTTTCACAGTCAGCTTTTCTCAACCTTCCTTGCAGGTGTTTCGTACCAAGCTGGGTGTGACGTCATCACATTTACTCTGCATATAACCTAAAAGATCACATTGAGCCTGGATATGCAAACATATGCAGACAAACGATTCAAACAGCTGCTGTATTACTGTGTATTGTCAGTAGAGTAACGCCATACAGTCAGTGATTTATGTTTTATACTTTGATTTAAAAAAAACAAACTAAAAAAACTATTTAAAAAAAATCATCAAAACCAAGAAAAGTTGATGAACGTTAGCAATTAGGAATGCACCGATTGTAGTTTTCTTTAAAAAGCCTGACCTGCTGATTCCAATGTTGGCTGGTACCATTTTTTTTTTTTTTGCCTGAATTGTCGGTAAATATAGCAGGAAAGTCACAGAGTTGGTAACAGTGACTATTGATAACCGTAAACATGCTGACGTGACCTGGTGGGCCGGTCAGTCAGTCAGACCTCTCTCACTGTAGAGCAGAAAAGGCCAGTGGTTGAAAAAAAAAATCTTCCTTTGCCAAGGTAGATAAGATCAGCTTCACATATCAGTATCGGCCGATCACCGATCTCCCAAAATGAAGGAAATCAGGACCCATTTATTGGTGCATCCCACTAGAGATATTTAGCAGTGCAATTTAAATTTAAAAGGGTAATTTATAAGTATTAGGAAATTCTGACATCAATCTGAATGTCATAATAATTCAGACATTTGAGATTGGCTGTTGTGTCTTACAGTGATCGAATTGTGCTTCTTTCAGTAAAACTGTTTCAGCTACATGCATTGTGCTAGCGTCATCTATAAAAAACCTAAAATAATAATTAAAAAAACATGTTTATAATCATTAAAAAATATCCTATTTAAATATGCGGCTTTATTTAAAAAAATGTAAAAATCAATATTTTTGTTTTGTTCAGTTAAAACTGATTCTATGGCTGAATCCTTCTGTTTGTGATTCTGTTTGAAGCCAGTCAGGTCGTTCTGACTGGGTTCTGTCTGCAGGCCGGATCAGACTCTGGGTCGTGTTCGTGCGGCGCGCGGCTGGCTGCTTAGAGCCGTGTGTCCTGGATTTCGTCCTCGGCTTCCTCTGGTAGCGACGAGATCTTGGTGGTCTGAGGTGGCGGTCTCTTGATGGAGTTGAGGCGATGGGGGGTGGGGAAGAGGCGGAGCCTGTCGGCGGGGCTGATGGCCTGCTTTAGGTGACTCATTTCATTCATAAGTTTCTGAATGGTGTCGTACCTTTTCACAGAGCTCTTCTCAATCATCTGTGGATGAGGGGAGAAGCAGTTACAACTACGGCTGCAGCCAACCATGACCGTTTATTCTGACGATTAATCGACTTTCATTTAAGCCATTTTGGTAACACTTTATTTGAAGGGGTGTGCATAAGTCTGACATGACACTGTCAAACGTGACATAACATCTGTTATGACGATGAACATTCATGAACATTTTCGGCTGTTGTCATGACGTGTCATTTGGTTAAAAAAAATGAAATTTTTCATGCAAAGTTGACACATTTAATGGAATAAAATGTCATTATTTACTAAATATCACTTGAATATCGCTTCATGAATGTTTATGCCATAAACATTCATGAAGCGATATTCAAGTGGATGTTTATGACAACAGTCAAACATTCATGAAGATTCCTTCATCATCATAACAGGTATTATGTCACGTTTGACAGTGTCATGTCAGACTTATGCACACCCCCTCAAACAAAGTGTTATCTTTTTTTTTGGGGGGGGGGGCTACCTTGGATGCAAAATGTACATATTTTTTGTACAGTGTTGGCTCATTTACTGCTCTGAGTGTGTTGATCTTTCACAGATTGTCCTTTTGAGACCATATACTCCAGCTAACACTCCATAAATTACTAAATTATGTTGACAATTATTTCAATAATCAGACATATCCGATTAGTCATTGCAGCCACAGAGTTACAGGTTCGGCTAGAACAGGGTTCAGCAACCATTACAAAACAAAGAATCCTTTTTGTTCTCAGTACAATAAAAAAAATAATAACAATTTAGAGCCACAAATGTTGTGACCTTTTGCAAAAAAATATAAATATCAACTATTAGAGGCTTGATAAATATACCACTTTATCATGTATGAATTTTGTTGTCATTTTTGAAGAATTGCTGTTTTTTTTCTTCAATTTTTAGGTTTTGAAATAAAGGAAAACAATTAACCTTGTAAAAAAAATAATAGGACAGATACATTTAGCATTTCCAACCTAAAAATTAGTAAATAATAGATTTCAAATACTTCTTCGGCTCTGAAACATCAGTGTAATGTCAATGTGACAAAAGAGGAGTTAATACAAAAAAACCTGCATTATATATATAACGCAGTTGAGACCAGATATTTACATACACCAAATTAGAAGACACAAACTAAATTTTTCTGTCTGTCTGAAGTTAAATTGTTTTAGCTTAGTTAGAACTACCACACAGTTTAAAAGACAGTAATCTCTGATACCTACCAAATCTATGCAAAAAGTGAATTTGACAAAAGTTACAAAAAAATAAAAATTCCAAAAAATTCTCTTGCCATGCTTTCTGGCATTTAGCAAAAAGAAATATTTTGGTAATTCTAACGAAGCTAAAAGAGGAAAAGTTTGGTCTGATTCAACTTCAAACAGTGAGAGAAAAAAAATCTGCAGAATATAGAGAGAGAGAGAGAGAGGTAGAGAGAGAGAGAGAGCAGTTGTAGCAGGTTGTAGCCCTCTGAGCTAGAAGGAATCATTAAAAATGATTTTGGTTTCATTGCTGTGCTCTTATGTAACAAGGCCTCCTTGTCACATGTTCCATCACACCACCACCTTGTTCAGCCACCAAGCCCCCATCACTGACATGGCAACAAACGCATGCCTAAACTCACAACATTAATGAAGAGACTTTAACTTTGTGAGACTGAGGCTGATGTAGTGCTGCTAGAAACTCACCAGGAACGACTGGCACTCCAGCAGCGGCTCCACTTTGTGTTCGGACAGGATGACGGTGTAGTTGGAAAACGACTGCTTCAACGTTTTTCTCAGGACCTGCAGTGTTCTGCTCACACACAAAAACACACACACACACACATCATCATCATCATCATCATCATCATCATCATCATCATCATCATCATCATCAGCAGCATCAAAGTTTAACCTGTAGACAAGCCAGCACAGAGCTGGATCGCTCATTTCAAGCTTCATTTCCCTCCATGATCATGTTCTGCGTCCATGCTTACACCAACCACACACACAGGGGCGCAACATTACTGTAAGCACGGCAGATTGTCACCATATGCAGTGACAGGACGTGCATGGTCTGCTCTGCACTGTGACCTCATCCTGCAGGACGCCACAAGCACAAAGAAATATACAAACTTTTAATCGCTTTCAGGAGGCGGCCGCTTCCTGGAGGCGATCAAACGTCTGAGCGCACAGCGGGACACTGAACATCAGCGGCAATGATGGAGGAGCAGAAACTGGGAAACCCTGTCCCTGTCTGACTAACTTTTACCCAAGAAAAGCAAGGTCACGACAGGAAGACTCAAAGTTAGCTACCATTCAACAGCTTCCATTAAACATAAGACAAATTGAAATTCTGAGAACAAATTTGCCTAATGGAAACACAACAGTTTTCAAAAAAACGTTAAGTTTTTGTGCTAGACTGAGGTGGTTTTTTTCCAACCGTTTCAAAACACTTTTTCCTCATCACACAACTCACATGATCAACAGCTGGATGTTACTACTGGTAAAAATGATGAAGAAGACGACAGGAAGTTGTAGGAGGAGGATGGTTTGTTTTTGTTTTTTAATGACTTATTGCATGAACAAAATTATCCACATGTGTTTTTAATTGTGTCTTGTTTAATGGAAACACAGCAATTTCAAAATTTTGGGGGGCGAGGGGGTTGCTATTAGTGGATTATTGACTAAGTTTTGTGCACATTTGTAATAGAAATGCAGCTACAGAGACATCAGCTCTGCTAATACAGAAACCTAGTGGAAGGCAGGTGTTTTGAACTTGCTAATTACGGCTGGTAAGGAGAAATAGGAATTGAGAGTCGAAGCGTTAGAAAAAAAAAAAGGAAAATTGACTGCAAAATATTTGATTTCTTCTTAAATGTAAGTTTGTCAAACATTTTGCTTCAAAGGCTTGGGAAAATAATAAAAGCCAAAAAGATGGATAAAAAAGTGGCTGTTATTAACCATTGCCTCAGCAGTTTGTCTGGCCATATTTTGAAGTTTGTCCTGACTAATCATACATTTAATGTGACCAGAGGAAAGTACCCAACAATTGTACTCAAGTAACAGTAGCACTACTTCCACATATTTTTACTCAAGTAAAGTAAAAAGTAGCTGTCCAAAAAATTACTCAACAGTAAAAAAGTATTTGGTAAAAAGGTGACTCTATCAATTATCAATCATTTAATATTTACAGATGGACCAAAATATAAACTTAAGTGGAAATTTTGACATTTTAAGGACAAAAATTACAACAAAAAATAACAAAATCAGGCAAAAGATTTTTTTCCCCAAATCAGTTTCTTTCAATATAAAACTTCTGAAATGTAACCAAAATTGCAGGGGTGTGTGTATGGTGAATTTTTGGTTAAAACATATTTGTTTTCATTCAGTGGGTAGAAAATCCTGAAATTTTACTCAAGTAAGAATAGAAATACTTAATATTAAAATTACTCAAGTAAAAGTAAGAAGTACAGCATAGTAAAATTACTCAAAAAATTTCTTTTTTTTTTTTTTTTTTTTTCAAAAAAGTTACTCAAGTAAGTTACTAGCCAACTCTGAATGTGACTGACCCAGATGAGGCCAAACATGCCAACAACACACTCCTAAATGCCAGCATCAGGGTTAGCCTCCGTGATGTTAGCCTAGCTTCCATTATTTCAGATGAATCAAATATTTGTTAGAACTGAAACAATTAACTTTGAACTGCAGCAGGACTGGAAATGTTTAGATCATCCACACTGAGTCCAGTTTGTACTGCAGCATGTGGGACATAAACAGAATATTCCAACAAATAAAAGACCTCAACCAGTCTTTACGTCAGTAGGAAAACTGTTCATAACAGAAGATTTAAAAACACACTGAATTTTGACTAATTTTTTTTTTTAATGAACAACTTAGTGTAAAACTGATGAATCATAATCGTTATAACAATATGATAAAAGCAGAACACAGAGTGTTGGTGCCTGGTGCTCATACTGACATGGGGTCCAGGTAGGAGGACGGCTCGTCCAGCAGCAGGATGCGGGCCTTGCTGAGGATGGAGCGGGCCAGACACATCAGCTGTTTGTGACCGTTGCTCAGAACGCTGCCGCCATCCTTCAGCTCAAAGTCCAGCTTATCGGGGAACTGCTCGATGACCGACTTCAACCCAACCTGCAGGAATCACACACAGCTTACCTTACTGCACAGGGCGGAGGAGGCTGCTGATGGAACATGGCTGACTTCTACAATACAAACACTTCATATCCCTTTTGTGTTCTTTTATTGCTACAATGACATTTTGTAGCGATAACTAAATATATATAATAATATTGCCTTCCTATAGTTGACTAGAAACAGCCTCACCTCCTCAGCCACCCGCCACAGCTCATCATCACTGTAACGGCCGTACGGGTCCAGGTTCATCCGGAAGGTTCCAGTCAGAATGAAGACTTTCTTTTAGATCAAAGTAAGAGAAATAAATAATTGCAAATAAATTTAATTTCAACATGACGTCACCCCACACACACCTCTAGACCACCACCATTTAGTCCGCCTTTTATTAAAGACATTAAAGCCTGAATCTCAAATGTTTCATCCATCCATTTAAAACTACATAAGTGTATAACACATGCATAAAAACTGCATTGGAAACCTGCCAAAATAAAACACGACAAATGAAGCAAAGTAAAATTTAAGAAAAACTTTTTTTTTTCCATTTTTAATATAATTTTTGTCTATATTAAACATTAATTTTCCTCAGTCACCAGCAGCCTAACCTTATGTGTCTGAATTTGAACATGTGTACCTGCGGCACCACTCCAAAGGCCTTCCTCCATGTTTGCAAGGACATGGAGCTGGAAGAAACTCCGTCGATGTACATTTCCCCTTCGGTGTAGGCGAGGCGCAGCAGAGCGGACAGCAGGGTACTCTTCCCAGACCCGGTCCGACCCAGCAGACCCACCTGCACACAGAACAGAGGAAATTAGTATTTGTTTCACCACATTAAAACATTCTGTTTAGAAAGTGTGTTTTTACACATTGGGCTAAAAGGTTCTAACTTGCGACATATTACACTCTAGCGTATACAAACTTTGTTTTCCTCCACATCCTTTCAAAGGTCATTAGGAGGCATCAGGGTTAAACTGGAGGGCTAATGCTCACCAGGTTTGATTCTGAGAAGCTCTTGATTATTATAATTATTCCCAGAAGAACATAATTTATGAACCAATGGGGCCAAAGTACAGAGCCTCTATTTTGTCTTTGACTGCTAATAAATCATTTAGATTCAAAGATAAGAAGTGAAATGAACCTTTCAACTTCTCTCTAGACACTACCAGTTCACCTCTTTCAATTCTTTTAATATTTTTTATCTTTTATTTCTACATAAGTCAACATCTTGCTTGGCAGGATGTGGTAACAGAGGTGGAAAGGAAAAAAAATATTTTTTTTTATTTTGAAATTAGAATTGAGAATCAATAACTTGGACTGATCTAACAGAGTCAATATAATTATTATTCTAACCAGCAGGGGAAAGTGTTTAAAATACATGCTGAGGAAAAATAGTCTGAATGGATGTCTTCTGTCCTCAGAGGTTCTAAAGTTAAAGTTAGGACCACTTTAACACTGATAAATGCTTAGAGTCCAGTACTGTGTGAACTAGATCCTCTTTAAAGACAAATGCAACCAAGCTGAACTTTTCTCCTCGTAACAATCAACTAATCCATCAGAAACAGTCGGATTGGTCAGGATTCCTGCTGAACTGGCTCAGTTGTTCTGTACCTCAGATGCTTTGTAGAGTCAAAGGAGAATAAAATGATAAAGTTTTAGTACAAAGTAAAGCTGCAGTCTTAAATGTATGGAAGCCCATTTCTGCCATGAAAGAAAACATAAAAGCCCAACAGGAAGTTGTAATTGTCAGTTTTACATAGAATTTATTCAATGGTGCATTTACTCTCCTTAAATCCTTCTTATGCAAATTAAGATTTTTTTTTATTGTAAAAGCATCTCTATAGTCCTTCTCCACCTACTCAGACGCCATCTTTGCAGACAGCGCAATAGATCCAAAAGGCCAAATGGATGCATTTGGAAGAAAAAGTAATTTTGTTCTCGTAATGATGGCTTTAAAACTCATAGTTACAGCTTTTGGTTAAGGTTTTGCTTTTCCATTCATGGCAGACATGTGCTTCCATACTACTGTCCTTTGTTTCTTGCCGACGTTCTGATCTGTGTCACCACCGCCTCAATGTGTTTACTGCAGGGTCACCATGTTTGTGGAGATTAAGTCAAATTCAGTTAAGATTTGCTATGAGGCAACATAGAGTTAAACAAAAATGTTAATGTGAGAATTCCACCAAAGTCTAGTTTAGTGGCAAAGTTTTGGTGAAGACTACAATCCAAAATAATCCACTCCATGCTAATATAGATGCTAATTGCCAGGGTCAAAATTGAAACCACAAGTAAAACACGTGACTTCCTGTCATCAATGGGTTCAGCTTGAGCGTTTTCAGATGTTTACCAGGCCGGACCAGACTGTGGTCCGGCCGACACACAGGAGGTTCAGAGGTGCTCAGGACTGGAAGACCAGCTTCATGTTCCACAGCAGCAAATCCAAGTTTGAGGACGGGTTACATCTGCACCCTTTAATTTATTTACTTATTTCACCAGTTCTAAAGCCGTTACTTCAGAGTAAATCCGACATGTGTAAAACATCAAAAAGAAGACTTTGAACCAAAATGTCTGACTTCATGTTAGGTTAAGAACATGCTTAGAAACGTTTTTTTTTTTTTTTTTTTCCCCAATTCTGAGTTTATGTGTACCAACTTTCAAAGCTCTATAGGATGAAGTGATGCTCATTTTGGGGAAAGTTCAGGACTCCAAAGCAGGAACTAGAAAACTAATATCACTTAGTAACTTCCAGTGTTTCGGATGCAATACATCCGAAACACTGAGTTTCTTTAAATCTAGACTAAATCCCACCTGGTCAGAGCTGCTCCTGATCAAGTATGTATAATGGACCAACATATTTAATATGTAACAATGATTTTGGTAATGACACTCATCAAAATGTAATATTTACATTACATTTGGTGACTGTATGATGTCTTTTATCACTTTGTAGTTTTGTGTTTTTATGATGTAAAGCACTTTGAACCGCCTTATTGCTGAAATGCGTTACATAAAGAGACCTTATTGATTGATTGATTGATTGATTGATTGATTGATTGATTGACTAATTAAAATCCAAAGGTGTCCCTGGACATCTGGACGTCCAGTCACCACTCAGGACTTACACTCTGACCCCCCTCCACAGCAAAGGAGATATCGTTGAGCACGGCCCGCCCAGCTTCTGTGTATTTGACGGTGAGACCCTGGACATCCAGCTGGCCGCGGTTAGGCCAGTAGCTGTACGCGCTTGGGTTGTTGATGACAAGATCAGAACCTCCTTTTCCTCCAGGCTTTCCTTGGAAGGTCTCTTCTGATGCTAAGTCGATGAATTTGAACACTCGGTCCACTGAACGCATCTGGGAGGAGGAGAGAGAAGGAGAGTTCGAGGACACACACCACCACTAACACCACTGTGTGAGCATGATGAATGATGATTTTAGAGTAAAACATTTTTGCTTGATACTACTTCTACTACTACTCCTATTATTTATAATAATAGTAATAGTAGTAGCAGAAAAAAACATTTTGATATTTGAGTTGTTTTTAAATGATTAAAGTCACCCATGTTAACATGTTAACTTCCAACAAACCAGATATTTTTACTCTATTTTTTACTCACTGCTACGATTACCAAAATATCTCCAGAGAACCTCAGTTCAACAGGACCAAAGAGCTCCACTAAGTCCACCTCTGAAAGGAACATCAAGTTTTTAGAGAGTCCTAATCAAAGTTTTGACTCCAATCAGATTGAGATTACCTTAAACAGCCCATTTATGTACAAAATCCTGCCAAAGAAGAGTTGGTCAAAAATCCTTCACAGTGATGTAAAAAGAGTATCAGTTATCACAAAGGTTTAGTGAAAGTTGTTGGGTAGCAAAACCAATAATTATTATTCCATTTGTTTTTTAAATACAAAATTCTCAAACTGGAATCTTTGTATTCACATGTAAATGGTCTGAACTTACATAGCTTTTCCAGTCATTTTGACCACTCAAAGCCCTTTGCACTAGAGTCACATTCACTCATTTGCACTCACAAACACATTCATACACTGATATGCAGATCAGTAGGCAATTTGTGCCTTGCCCAAGGGCACATCAACATGTGGCAGGAGGAAGCTGGAATCAAACCTACAACCTTCTGATTGCAAGATGACTACTCTACCCACACAGCCACAGTCGCCCCATGTAAATGCACCAACCACTAACAGTCACCACTGAAGCTGCTTTTCTTGGTCAACGGGCTCATTTCTGCTTCAAACACCAATCTGATGGGATGCTGGACAACACTGTCAGTGTGTAGAAGTTGTGTTAAAAGGAGTTAGCCTATCAGTGAAGGTATTTAAGCCTAAAATAACATCTCAGTGCTAAACATGTTGCAGCAGACGTCCCCAATGCTAAAGCTAATGCCCACAGTCCACATTTCTAAAGAAGTTCCTTGAATGACCAGAGCTACCTGAAACTCTGGAAAGCTGAATCGGTAAAAATAGGACGTTGCACCAAATTTCAATAGAGTTCCACCACTAGGTGGAAGATATAGTGTAGATCTATAGTATAGATGGATAAAAAAAATTTAATAAAACTTAAGTATGTTTAGCTAAATCTTCTCACGCGTTTGACCTTGAAGTGTTGAAGGAATAAGTTGATTAACACCGCAATCATGTTTCTGAACACAAACAATGTTCCGGTAGCATCCAGTGTTAAAGGACTAGAGTTGTATGTTCCTCAGACTGGATGGCTTCTTGTTCTGTCCTGATAGATAAAACTGACTGTGATTATGGCTGCTTACCAGGCCGTCCACATTGATACTGGTGATGATAGCCCATTGGAAAGTGCCCAGTATGAGCATGGCCAGGGCCACAATGATGCCAATCTCTCCAGGTCTGTCCTCTGTAAAGTGCATGCAAATTCACACACACACACACACACACACACACACACACAAAATGTCATCAGCACCGTCCAATAAAAGCTCACCTCTCTGATGTCAGAGCTGAACTCATGTATTACAGCACTCCTACTGGCTCCATTGGAAGCTAATGAGCTGTGAAATTAGCCTTAAACCTGCACTTAACATAAACACAAGCAGTGACGCAGCAGCATGTTTTTCATTGTGTTTGCGTTTCCCATTCATTTAATTAAACGTGCTCCCTTTTGCATTCCAGCAGTTTTCATCAGGCAATCTGTTCTGTTTGGCTGATCCTATAATTTTATTTGTTATGCTCAGCCCATTATAGTCACTTGTTAGGACTGGATGTAGATGCACCATATAACAAACCCAATCTCTACACCACTGAAGCAAATGAGGTTTAACATGACATTACAATCCCAAATTTTAACCAAAATAACTGGTATGAGTCAGTCAGAATCCAAGAATATTTTTTTTTGCATTAGACTATTAGTAAGTCATAAAAAACTGCTTCAGTTCAGATATCAAAGAAGAGTGATAACTTTGCATGTCTTCTATGTTAGCTAGTGCAGCTAATCTCTTAGCTAATGTAGCATCTCTGCTATGTTAGCTGAAATATTACTTTTTCTATTTATCAAAGCCAAGTGATAATTCTGATGCTACATCAGCTACTATAGCAGAAATGCTACATTAGCCGATGTAAAATCCAAGCTATAATAGCCAGTATAGCAGGGTTGCTACATTAGCTAATGCATGATTAATATGAAACTTCCAGTGGCAGACAGCTTCTGTTTTTACCTAGTAAGTCAGGTACAAAAAGTGCAAAATGTCAAAGGAGTGAAACACTTAGCCTTACGTCTCAGTCATTGCAAACTAGCCCTAGTATTTATTTTGTAGATTCATGGTGACATGTGACCAATAGTTTGCAACTCTCTCATGTAGTTCAACCAGATGTCATCAATTTGAAACCATCTGACTGCAATCGGGTACTGAGGGTGGTGGACTGAATCAAAGGGTTGATGCAGTCTGTGGACAATAACTGGGTACTGCAGCATGAAATTGAGCACATTTGATACAATTCAATCATTATCAGACTCAATTAAACTATACAGAAGTGGATCCAATTACACTATTTCCAATTGTATGTTGCTGGATTGAAATCTGAATTAAATACTTTTTAGTTGCTTTAAACTGGTGCTGAATTTATATGTGAATTTATTCCTTTATGAATTAAATACCAGAGACAATTTACAGAAATTTAGGAGTAATGTTGCTTTCAATGTACGACACTACAACCAACTGTAAGATCATATGTGAAACGAGACTCTTGAAGTTCATTCTTAATCTGCACTTGAAAATCTTGAAGGATTTAGTCTTTCTATTACTCACTGTTGGTTCCTACGGCAATGAAGGCAGCGACGGTGAAAAACAGCACAAAGATCACATCGCAGCGGAACAGGAACCATCTCAGCGAGGACAAATAGTGGAACCAGGTGGCTGTGTGAGTGTTCAGAGCTTTGTGGAATAGTGTCTCGAAGTAAGTCTGACGTCCAAAAGCTCGAATTGTCCATAAACCCTTCAGTGAAATGATGAGGTGAGAGAAGATGGGACTACGAGCTGCAGGAAAAAGAAAACGTGTTTTTAAAGGCATGGATACAAATCATGACAGCTACAACTATTTCAGTCTGCTGAGTTGGTTTTCCATTTAAAGGCACACTTAATTAGTTAGAGATACAAAAAGAAATGGGCTCTTTACCAGAAATGGCTGCAGTATTTGAAAAATGAAATCAGAGACAGCAGAGACATAAAGACAATGCAGTTATTTTGATTTTGAATGATCATGACAAAAATAAAGGATACTGCAGAAAATTTAATAGCCCAACTCTGATAATTTAGTCATTTTTAGAAAGATATTTAAACAGTGTTGTGTTAATATTATTAGAAAAATGTGTTATAGTAACAGCTCTCACACACTCTCACACTGCTGCTGCTAATAAAAATGTTTGATGGTGGAATGAAATATTTGTAATCCTGTTCTTATATCTTCCGAACTGCCTCTCCAAATGAATCATTTAGAGTCCAATATTCATGCTGCTCAGCAAATTAAAGATTTGTTTTAATTTAGGCTCACTGATTAGTGGTTTGCTTAAATGGGTACATATTTTTTGATCCTCCATATTTTTTTACTCCTCAGCCCTTAAATTCCTTTCGTATTGCAAGTGTAAATGTGCTCTTAATTTCACGACTGAAGATAAGGATTTGTGTTGTTGTTTTTTTATCCTTTCATTTAACCAAATGTTGAAGAGATCACAAATCACAGTCAACCCATTTTTTTCCAAAAACATTTCTTCTACACAGGTGAGGCTTTCCGACTCTCCTTCCAGCTCTCTTGGATGTTTCTTACCCCACTTTTAGTTATTTTAGCAATCTCAGCTGTTTTCTTGGCTTGATTCATAATTTGACCCTTCTTAAACAGACTAACGTCTTTATCATAACCACAGATTGGGACTTCCAACATGATTGCTTAAGAAATGGAAAATTACTAACTGCATCAGTAAAGATGAAATAACTGGCTACCAGTTGAAACAAAACCATCCATGCAGAAATTATCAAATAAGATACCCTCAGTGAATCACTGTCCTTAAAGAGACAATGATTCACCTTCATCGCCCAACGTGATAGGCAAATTAGCCAAAGCAATAAGTTCATAATAACTGACTGATATCCCAAACCCAAGGCTTGACAAAAAACTGGAGATCTGAAATTGGTTCCAAAATTCCTGTTGGTACATCTGTGCATCTTTAACATGTGGAATGGATTGTGTAATATTAATAAAATATAATTATTTATTAATTATCTGTGTAGAAGTAAGTAGTAGTTCAGATGTTTGGATTCTAATCCACTTTAGGCTCCTTCAATCAGAATGTCCCTAAGCCCCAGCAGCCTGATTTCTGCTGTGTGGAACGTCTCTCTGTATCTCTCTGTTTTTCAAGGGCGATCTCGACAGACACCAAAACACCACTGGAAACAATAGGAAAAAACGACACTATCCCTAAGCTATGGGTAAAAACCGAGGAACGTGGTTCATTGAAGCTGACTAATACTTTATGTTTCCACTGCATTTTTGCCTGATATGTTGCATAAAGCAGGAGAAAGAACAACACCAGGATATAGCTGGAGGAAATCCCAGCTCGGCTCATCGCTGTGACCCCAGTGCGCTTCGGAAAGACCTTGTCGTCACCACTAAAGCACGCACTATGTGACAGAACCGAGCACACAGCAGGGAAGTCCAACAAACACAGTGGCATCTGCAGTGGTCCAGTGACCTGTTTTCTCGTCCCAGAGCATCCAACAGCAGAAACTTACTTAGATGTCTCATGTACATAAGTTTGTCTCAAACTGTTTTTTACAATCTAATTTTAACCCAAACATTGACATTAAAATTGTTTTTTAGAGATCCACTATGAATTGTGTAGTGCATAAAGGGATACCGTTTTTTGGCTAAGTCAGAAATTTACCACTTTTTCAAGCCAAATGAAAGCAAACCCACCTTACTTCTTTGGAGTGAATGCAATAACTGAAAACTCTTTTTTCCTTCTAGGGATTCCCAATATTTTCTCATTGTTATGCAGACCAAGGTTCTCAGTCTATCAGTCAAGGGATTTTACTGACTTTTGTGTCAGTAAACAATACTGACACAAAACAATACTTTTGCACAATATCCTAATGTCCAGCCTTCTCTTGTCGATGGATTACTACATTGCCCATAAGAGTGTTGACTTTATTCCTGGGCATGACAGCCAGCAGAAAGGTGTTGACAGGGCCAGAGGACTGGACAAATCCACACAAGTCTGTGTCTCAACAAAACAATTGTCATCTGATAGTTTCCCTGCTTGGACCCTAATCAAAGCAGTACCATCATCAATTGTCTGACTCATTCACTGCCACAAAACATTGTCTGGAAACTGCTAGATCTGGGGTTGACATTAAAGGCACACCTTTTTTTTTCAATCTCCTTCATAAACCTATCAGCTTAAAGAGGATAATTATTGGATACTTAAAATGTTCTTACCCATAAAGAAGTCAAAGGAACAAAAAAACAGCATATTGTTGAGATCATGTTGCTGTGCTGCCAGGCTTGTGATAAAGTTGGAGGAAGACTATAGAGCAGTTTATTGTGGTAAAAGTGTTTTGCTTGTATGTACTATTTTTAGCATGTGATTATCCACTGTCCAGGCACTTGGGCACAAGAAAAAATGTCTAACAATCTTCAAACACTTATTCTGGACAGAACTCAAATCTGATCTTGCACATTCCCGCTGTACCTGGCATGTTTGTCAAGTTTCTGGCAAACCAAATCTGATCATTCCTCCTGCTCCTCTATCAGCAATTCCAGTTTTAGCTGAACAACTTGAAACCACCACGAAGTATAAACCAGATTTTTACTTTTGTGTTAAATGTTTGTTTTATAATATATTTACCACCAATGACAAAAAACAAAACAAAACAAAAAAAAAATCACATTTTATAAGATAAGTAGTATTTCATATGATGAAATGTTACTTTTCAAATGAGAATGAAAATGATCCATTTTAGGTAAGTGAGGAGCCTGTCAACCTGGTAGCTAAAACACCTTTTGATTCTGCTACTTCATGCAGTAATCAAGAAACCTGCTCATGTGCAAAGACAGGGTCGTGGTGCAACAACAGTGACAACAACAGTTTTTTTGTCTAATGGGTTTGTCTCGCCTGACAGGGGGACATTGCTGATGATTTTCTGAAACTCATGTTTGACTTCCAGTCTTTTTGATCCCATCCAAGGTGTGAAGTCTCTAGACATTGTTTTCACTAATTCTACACTGTGTTGACCCAACAAAGGTCATAAAAAAATTAGCGTGATGTACCTTGGTGTAGTCTGTGACCCAGGCTGTCCATCTATATCCTAAAGTTTTGTAAACAAAGTTGTGGGAAAAGGGCAGAGTATATCTTGAAGACCTTGTGTACTTCAGTGATTGGGTTACCTATCTTGATACTTGGTGGGAGATTTTCAAGCACTTTTTAGGGTACTCGCCAAAACCTAATCTTACAAAATTCAAATGTAGTAAATTTTCTTGGGCAAAACATTGGTGGGAGGAAGTGTGTCCTATGGATGCAAAAATCATTCTTGACTTTTAGGCTCCTTTAACAAGAAAGCACTTTGGTGATCTCCCCTGATCCTTTGACTGGTCCTTGGACTGAAAAATGTCAACAACCTTCTGAGAATCTTAAGAAATGATTTATGAAGAAATGACAACCCTTGTTGTCTTCAACCCAGATTTCAAGCCATGATTTAAACTGGACCTTGATCATAGACCAGTTGGTATGAGCTGTCCTACAGGAATATAAAGAAGGCATTGATCATCTTGAATTTTACTTCTTGGCTTGAGTCTGTAACCTAGAACGCTCTTGAGACTGAAACCCAGATGTCTTTTTTTTTCATGAAATAAAACTAGAGTACATCCTCAAAATCTGCTATAAGGAGGAGTCAGAAAACATGTTGGCTGATGTGCTGCCCTTTGTCCTATGGCTAATACAACCTGTTTATGAAATTTCAAGACATTTCCTTAGGACTCCACCTGCAAACATGAACAGAATTGAGTCTTCTTTTCTTACCTTCAGCCTCTAGCTGTTTGAGTTGTTGTCCTGTTCGTAAGAAGTACTTCCTGATGACCACAAAGATAACAGCCAGCGGAATTGCAGATATAAAGATGTATGGTCTCATGATGGACACAGTGAAGATGCACCCAATGACAAGTAAAGTTAACTAGAGTGAGGAAAAGTGAGGGGATAAAAAGGAAATAATGAAGTTATCATTTTCATTATTGTTTGTTTCAAAGAGTTCATTTGTAATGAAGCAACTGTTTGGGGTCCTCTAACACTATATTTACTGTAAATAAAAATTTGACAGATGCCTTCAAATTACATAGCTCAAGAACACATGTAAAGCTTTAATCAATAGAATAACTGTAGCAACACAGTATGTAATACAACACAAACACTTTTATTTCATAATGTGAATAAACATGGATCATTTTACTGTAGCCTCACAGCTAGTTATTACCAAAAGGTTTGCAGACTTTTCAGCTCCAGTTATCAGTGATCCCTTATAAAGTAACATTTTTGTATAGTGAAGCCATGAATATTTAAATAGGTGGGTATGGAGGTTGTATACAGATAGAATGCAGCAGGAATGGTTAGGTTGATAAAAAAACGCAGAGTGGCTTTGTGCCAACAACCTGAGAGGTTGAGAACCAACACCGTTATCTAATGTTAAGAATAACATTAGATAACACCTTTATCTAATGTTAAGAATAAGTATTTCCCCCTTTGTCAGACCTAAATATTTAACATAATCAAAGGAGTTTTAATATCAAAGATTACATAAATAATACAAAAAAGCAAATTATTTCATTTTAAAAGCCATTTGAAACAAAGTAGTGAAAATGTAACTGCTCCCTAGTCCTTTTTACACCGTGTGCTAACCTCCTTGGCAACTACTGCCACCAAGTTTAAACAGTACTCAGAAATGAGTCTTTTGTGGAATAGTGTTTTTGTGGCTGCATTGATTTGTTTCAATGCAGCAGCACTGGAGGAGTTTAAAGCATGCCTGAAATCACTATCTTCCTGCGTTTCCAGTTACCTCCCAATAAAGTAATAGGGCCGTTTTAGTTCAAAGTGGTTTCTCATATAAAGAATGAGTCAGAAGTTTCTGAAATCATCTAGAACCTTAAGGTGAGGAGTGAGTGTATCTGGATATAAAACGGTAGCTATGTATCCATCCCAATGGTCACGCAATTTTTGAGCAAACTTTTAAAACGTCCCCCTCCCCCAAAAATTTTTTTAAGAAAATGCAAAGAAGATGGAGTCTTCCTTTTTAATGGCAAGAGAGTAGGATTTTATGTCTGTTTTTGTTTTTCAATAAATATAGTTTTATCTGAAAAAATTTATTTTTTACATGACAAACAAAACATTTGGTATGACAAAGGTATCAACAATTTGAATCAAGGGAATACATGTCAGTACAGTTTCCAACATCAACTTTATTTGTGGCGTCATTAAATACCTGTATGAGGTCAAACAGCACTAGAGGTAGCATGTCATCAATGACGGCCATATCCTTGGTGAATCTGTTCATTATCCGGCCTAGAAAGAGAAAAATGAAAAAGAAAAAGAAGGGAAATAAATCTATTGCACAGTGTTACCACCACACTCTGACTACTAACTTTTAAACCAAAAAGAGAAGAGGTATCAAAAAGCAGAGTACCTGTTTTCATGGTGTTAAGAACAGACATGGGAGCCCGTAGCACAGAGCTAAGCATCTGTTCATGAAGTCTTTTAGACACAGTGAGCAACGTGTGGACTAAAGGGAGACCCCTGAAGACTCCAAGGGCCAGTATGCTGTCTGAGTGAGCAAAGAATATGTAGATGATGTAGTAGGCGCTGGTTGGTGTGACTATGACGGCGAGGTGGACAGGAGGCGATGATGCATTAGGGTGCTGCTCATCAATGTAGTTTGGTGAATTCGGGTTGGCACCATCCCTCCATATCTCACTGGTTAAATGAAGCAAAAGATGGAGGTTAAAACATGGATTCATTTTTCAAGTTTGGAAATCTCTTGAGACAATTTAGCCCTTTATTATGTTTATGTACGAAATAACAGACATATATTTTAAAAAATACATTCCATTTTGCCACATGAACTTATCTCATAGTGACTTTGTATGTGCAGGAACATAACACAACACTCACTCAGTAATGATAAAAATGCCAATGACACAACCAGCAACCTGATGATTGGAAAAAGAGAGAAGTTTACTGTTAATTAAAAATTACAAAGTTCAAAAACAGTTTTAAATAAAAAATGAACAGAATTTTACCTCAATGACAAAGACAATCACAATGAAAATTAGGACATAGATTAAACTCCTATTGGTGGAAATGTAGCGTAGATAAGTATTCCATGAGGTAGTTTCAAATATCTTCTCACGTTCATCTGCAAAGCATTCCTGTGAAAAAGTACAAATATAATTTTTGCATAAATGCCAAATATGAATGAATCTTTTGTTGCAAAAACAGACGATAAAGCAAAGAAAACAGGTATGAAGGAGGGTTCAGCACCTAATGACTTTATTAAACAGTTTGATATTAAACTTTGTAAATAAAAATAAAAAAAAAGGGTGACTTTAAAAAAAAAAAGTTTTGTTGGCTCTAGTGACCTTTATTTGATGGTGAATTAATGGGAAAGTGGGCATTGAGAGAAGGGGGAAGACATGCAGCAAAGGTCGCCAGGCCGGGAATCGAACCTGTGACAGCTGCGTGTTGTGCTTAATCCCTGTGCCACCACAGCGTCCCCAAAATGGGTCATGTTTGACGTCAAATGTGAAACTATCTTTAACATGTCAAAGAGAAATTTGGAATTTTTTTAATGAAATAAAAATGAGCAGATATTAGTATACTAATTATACTAATTGTCTAGAAAATGTGTTTAGGTTTGTTGCTGTTTTCTACACGAATATTAGCCATTAATGAGTCTAAATACCTTCCAACTAGGAGAGCTGAAGGAGCACAGAAATATATCATTTTCAATAAAATAAAAATATAAACGAAAATACCCCATCCTTAGCAGAGATAGGTGACACTTGTACACTTGTTGCCAGTTGTACACTGGCAGCATAACTTTAGCATGTCAGTTCACACAGAACAGTTCAACAATAGGCTAATAAAACAAATGTTTATGACATAGAGCAGCTGTGTCAAACTCGTTTTTATGTTGGGCCACATCACAGTCAAGAATGTCTTTAAAGGGCCGTTTGTGGCAGAATATGTTGATAGAACTACCTATTAATAAACAGCTGATCCTCCATTTGGTGAGAACTTCTTGAAATTAAGTAATATAAACATGTTTTCACCTTTATCTAATTTGGCACAATACAAATAAAACTGCTGATTGATAAAATAATATGTAAAAATATGTTATTTTAAAGATTCTATTTCTACAGTCAAAAGGGCCACATAAAATCTTCATAAAATCTCACATAAAAGATTTGGCCCGTGGGCCTCGAGTTTGACATATGTGAAGTAGAGCCAAATTAATAAGTCAAAATGTTCATGCTTAATTGCATTTTTAGAATTAATGCAACTAAGCATTAATTGCCTAGGTCAGGGGTGGGCAATCTTGGTCCTCGAGGGCCGGTGTCCTGCAACTCTTAGATGTCTCCCTGGTCCAACACACTTGAATCCAGTAACTGAATGACCTCCTAAGTGCAGTAAAGTTCTCCAGAGTCCTGCTAATGACCTCATTATTTGACTCAGGTGTATTGAAGTAGAGATACATCTAAAAGTTGCAGGAGACCAGCCCTCTAGGCCTGGAGTTGCCCTCCCCTGGCCTAGGTGTTGTAATTGCAATGTTACAACACCTAGGCACAGCTATTTCATAGTGTGATCATTAAAAAATGATTATCCTGTTATGAGAAGAGGCAAACGTGTTGCCAAATCTTACCTCCATGTCTTCTTCATCCACTTCCTCACTTATGTCAAACACGCTGTCCTTGGACAAGCGCCGGGCGTAGATGTCCAGCTCGGACGCCAGATTGCACTGTGGGGTGATGGACAACTTTTTTCTGAAGGACGACTGCATCTGCTCTCTGCGCTCCTGACCCTGAGCATTGGTGATGAACGCCAGAACAGACTGGCGCCTGCCGTTGAGGTGCTGCAGCCCGTGGTGATACATGTCACTCCGCGGGAGCACCTCCTCTACCTGATCATCCTCAGGCACCACTGAGAATCTTCTCTCTGAAAGTTCATGCACCCCATCGTCCATGGATGTGGACTGGAAGTTATTCTGCTGGGAGTTCCCGATGAATGAAAACTTGCGGGCAGCTGCGAGAGGGTTGAGGATGAGCGATGGCTTGCGTTTTTCGGGATAGCCATCGCCCATGGCGTGGCTGTGAGATGGCGCATGGCGGAAGGACTGGTGATTGGGGTCTGGGCCTCGGAAATTTGCCGTTTCATCCACAGAGACTCTGCGAAGAGTTTCCGTGAGAATGGAGCTGCGCCGCTCCGCGTTGATGTTGTCGTAAGCTTCGAGACCAAGCAGCAGGGAGCTGAAGTCTGGCCGCTGCGCTTGAAGCTCTGAGAAGGTCCCGTAGAAGTAGCAGTCTCCGTTGTGCAACAGAAGGATTCGATCCGCCCGCTTCAGGTGCTCCAACTTGCTGGTGACCACAACGCGAGTCTTGGAGGCCATCAGTTTACAGACACATCTGCAGATTATAAACACACACATAATTCCAAAACGTAAGGGAATTCATTCAAATGATAAACAAGAGGTCTTTGTAGAACTTAGCAATCAGTTGCATAAACAAAACCCTAACAGGAGAGAGCTGTCTGCTGAAACAATAGAAAAGATTCTAAGACTCCCTGAAGAAGGTAAATCAGCACAGTGATGCAAAAGATGCTGGTTATTCCCAGTTGGCCTGCTCTAAACTGTGGAGCCTATGCTGACAAGATAGGGACGTTGTGGACTTCAAAGTGTCAGAACTGATGAAGAGAAACAATGTTCCAAAAATAGGAAATGCACAATGAAGGAAATGGAAGAAAAGCAGCAAACACGAGAACGCTAGAGCCAAACTGTTGCATGAGAACGATGAATGATTACTGAGGAAGAATATGGTTATAATTTAGAAAGTCCTCAGATAATTAAAACTCTCAGAAAAAAACAGAAGGTGGAAGAAATGTAACAGTTTCTGTTTTTAAACAAGCTTTAGTTTTTCTTCCACACTGAAATGATGGTGTGCCATTTTATAGTTTAGTTTTATTACTTTTCATAGTCTTATAGTTGTAGTTATAGTTGTTTATAATATGTAGATGTTAAAGGGCCAGTATGTGTCTTCCAACCAGACAGTATTATTTTACAGCATAATAAAATAAAAGCATTAACTATGATAAACTTTAGCTGTTAAATAAAATGCTGCATATATCAAACATGACTGCAAAGAAATTTGACTTTGCAATTTAACATCCTTAAATTTTGTCTTCTGTCTAATTTAAAAAGTTTCTGCTCTTTTCAACAATCTGCCTTCAGTGTTCCTTCAAGGAACACCGCTTCTCCATTAACCCTTTAACATTTTCAGCAGCACTGCACTGAGAAGTAGCTTCTATAATGATCTCAACCAAGGTGCAATTAGACCAAGTGTTTGCTAATTGTTGCTGCTGCTAGTTTGAAGGAGCTGAGTGAGGTAGGACTGCTCTCTCATGCAGAAACTTGATTTGGAAACTGCAGCTCCTAGGAGGAGCTGTGCATGGAAGGCGGAGCTTGGTTCCCCCAAGTGTTTTACAAACCCGAATGGCTGCCACTGGAGATTTAAACTTGCATGAAAGAATCAAAGCAACACTCCAGGTATGTTTTTGATGAGGGAACAACAACGGTGAATTGACATCATACTGGTCCTTTAAATAAAATATAATTTTGCCATGTGTTTTTATCAATATTTTTGCCATAAAACAACAACCAATAGATGGTATTTTGGTATAACCAATCCAATTCTTTTTCCATGAAGTAAAAAAGAAAAAAAAACGTCCACTTCCTCAGAAGATTACAGTGTTACCAGAGAAACTTTCCCCACAGTTAAAAAGCATCTGAGACACAGGGAGAGCCTTGACCTTGAACTTTCTGCAGCTCTATCTCCCAACCCCCACCACTGCTACATGAAAGACTCTCTGTTGGGATCCTTACTTGTCAAAGATCTCTTTCTCTGTTGCAATGTCCAGGTGGGTGAAAGGTGCATCGAGCAGGTACAGGTCTGCATCTTTATATACCGCCCTACAGTGAAAAACAAAACAAACAATAATCATATCTAATCAGGGGGCACAAAGACAGCAAAAAGCTGTTGCAAAGTGTGAAGAAAATAAAGCTTTAAGTAAACATTGGAAACGAGGGGGAAAAAGATAACTGGTGTGGTGTAGGGAGAGGCCACCTATCTACAGAGTGCTAAAAGGAAGTAAGGTCCCATAGAATATGGGACTAATGAAAAAAGGAAACACTTTCAGGAATGGTGGAAACCACAAATCAATAACCACATGAATAATGGAGTATTAGAGTGGCTCTAGTTTCCTACATAGAGATTTAGTGAGGCAATAAAACTTCATCAGTAGGAATGTGACTCAAAGAGGTCCTTAAATAATTCTGAAAAATAATAAACAAGTAGACTTAGGTTGTTAGGCAACAATATAACAAAAAAGTAAACTGGGCTGATCCTGTTGATGGCAGATTTTGATCTAAAATTCTTCATAAACTGCAGTACAAGTACCACCATGATGGCTCTATTGTTACCAATTTAAGCATTAATTCTCCACAAATGAATGAACTGTGATGTAGTGGATTCAGTTGAGTTCAGTTCAGTTTCTTTATGTTGCACCAGTTCAATACAAATGTCATCTTGAGGCACTTCTGGAGATTTCAGTGGACAAGCAACATATTCTGGTTGAATACCAACGAATACCTTCAGTATTCATTGTTGTCCTTTAACCTGAATTTCAGAGAAACAACTTTTTTCATCAGACCACTTTGCCATTTATTGCTTCACAACACTTATTTATGACTCACACAATTGTTTTTTAATAATTAAAAAGATCATTGCAACGTTTTATGAGCGGTGAACAACGGTGACCGATTAGTGTGTGAGTACCTGGCGAGGCAGATCCTTGCTCTTTGACCCCCACTAAGGGTAACTCCTCCCTCAGCAATGGGCGTCTTATCTTTCTCAGGCAGCAAGTCAAAATCCTTCAGACAGAAACAAAGGGGTCACTGGGTCAGACTTCTGTGTGGCAAATGCAGTTTGAAAAATGATAAAATACAATGAATACAAAAGGGGCTGTTACTGACAGGAATGACTCCTTATCTCCTTATTCACCTCATTAAAGTTGACATAAAAAGATGAATGTGTAAACTTGGAATGATATCAATATGCTTCCACGACCTGCCAAACATCAAATGGTAAATGGTTGCAAGCAGCTAAGCCCAAAGAAAGTGAAGGATTATGGGAATTTAAGAGTGGGGTCCACTGAGATGGGGTTAATTGTAGTCCAAACAAATGGAAAGCAACATGGCAGTAATGCAGTACAAAATATTGACTTGTCAAACATTTATGTGAAGTGTAAGTGAGAGGTACACAGAATATTAACCATATGGAGACAGAAATGCAGAAAATGCAGAAGAACAAATTAAATTTGAACCAAGGTGGTGATGATTCGAACCATTTTAAGCTTGACTGGATGCAAATGAAAAACAACTTTATACCATTTTAGGAGTAGCCTGGTAAAAACTAGCCTGTTGTTCTACACTTTGCCTCATCAGGAGGGATAACCAACAATCAGTTATTGTTATTTCTCTGATGAAATTTTAAACAATTGGATCTAAAGTTATCTCATTGTTAACATTTGGTTGTGACGTTTTCTAATGAGCCAGTTATGAACGAATGGTGCTATGAAGCTTTGCTAACAATAAAATGTCTTAAAAACTTTAATTGCTAACTCTTGTTCACTTCCCCACCCTATGTAAGTCACCCTTACATAGGGTGACTTCCTTTCAGAAACAAGAAACCCAGCGTCGTCTTTCACAACTCTACGTTCTGTATGATAACAGGCTAGGATGAAATTCATCCTGAGAAATCGGGCTTAATGGGACAAATCTCAGATGGAGAATCAGGCGTAGGAAAGCAATGGCCAGGCTAATTTCACAGGTTATTTTAAAGAAAATAGTGTTTTCTGTTATGAGGATATATGTCTACAGATAATTCAGCAAAGGAGAGTGAAACTTTCAGCAGATGAAAGGAAAGTTGAACACAACGAAGTGGTTCTGCTTTACACCTTTGATTTTTCAGTCTCTTTCTGACATGGAACATGAGGGAAGGGAGGAATGTGAGTCATTTTGTATCAAGAGATGAACAGATCAAAAATAGAACATCTTAATCAGCTTTCTCTACCTTATTGTCAAATTATTAAGAATGACACATCAAGCCACATCATAACACAAACCACAGATGGGAGAAGCACATGGGTTTGACAAATAGAGACCAGCTAACTGATGACAGTAAATGGAAACCAAAAAGACAAATTGACATTTAATGTTGAAGTTTACACCATTGAAACATCCTACCTTCTTAACAACAGCTTCCGCTCTCCCAATTGTAACGCATAGGGAATCAAGTTAATATGTTAACACATTGTACAATAAGTCAGCATAGTAAGACAAAACTAAGTCACTCAATGTGAACAAAAGGTAAACAATAAAGGCTTGAGGCAAGAGATGAATTTCCAAGGGAAGACCACCCACAGCTGTGTTTCTGCTGCTTCAGAGACAATAGACAGCACCATCACATGCCCTTTGACCTCCTCATCTCCAACAGGAGGTAAGGAGCTACGGTACTGCTTCCTATGCTACGAGAAACTCCTTCTAAATTTAAGTCATTTATTGTTTTTTAATTCTCTCGAAGTGGTTTTAAGCTATTTTGTGGACAATGACTGCTTATGAACTCATGCTTATTCGTTTTACAGAGCCTTTGCTAAGCCACTTAGCATTGACCAATACAATCAGTCAAACTTAAAAAAAGATCCTGAACTCAAACTGTTGATCTGTGTTGCATCTGGACATCACAGTCATATTATCAAAGAATGTTTTAAATTGTACAGGTTTCCATTTTGTTGGAAGAATAGTGTTACCAAACACATTCCATTTCTTAACCTGAAATTATGAACATAACACGGTTTGTAAATATAAACATGTATTTTCTACAACCACATAGTTTTTGGAAAAAGTTATTTGACTCAAGTTTTTATTTATTAACTTACAGTCAGCAGTTAGTGTCCTGGTTGTTTAAATAGGGTTGGAGTAATTATTTAGTTACAGTGAACCCCAGCTGTTCAAGTATTTTCCAAATTATTCATGGAAAATTTGCCTGTTTACAAATCATACCATAAATTAAAGTAAAATGCTACTTGACACCGTATTGGTTGGTGCTTGCAAAGCAGCCATTCCAGGAGTGTCATTCATTTTCCTTGGCACTGATTGGCTGTACCACCAAGAGTGGAGATAAGGAAAACTGAAGATGTTAGCATCTTCAATTTCCACTGTGTCTATTAATGCATATGAAGGTAGATTTGGTGTTTGAACTATTAAAACAGGCAGTTATTTCTAAAGGGAGTCTCAACGTATTCACGGATTTCAGCTTTTCGCAGGCGGTTGAAGTCTCTGCGAAAGTGCAAAAATTCATATCCACTTGGGATTTTCTGTTTTCCATACTAAGTCAGGATTACATATACAGAATTTGCACTGCAAATAATAGTTGGTAAAATTTTCCTAAGCAAGTTGAACCTCAACTGAATTCTTATTGTATTCTAACATCCTATTATCTTCATTCAAACCTGCAGGATAAAGTTTCTATGTTCATACACCAAACTTTAACTTAAGTCCATTACAGAACCTCTGTCCTGTGGAGTTCTTCAAGTTTCAATTCCCACCCCTCTCCTTTGTTTCATTGAATTTTCTGGTATTAGGGTCAATTATCAGAAACCATGGCATTTTTTTTGGTAAAACTTTATTTGACACATTACTGACATAAATTTGTTATAAAAGTATTACTGATTGCACTTTAAAAATTAGGTATCTATATGTTACTAAAGGTAAAGTTTAATGATTTCTTGGTTAATGTCAAGTTGTCATAACAAAGACATTTTGAATAATGTCAACTTTGTATTAAAAGTGTCATAATTTACCAAATGACGCTTTATGACAACAGTCATAAATATTCATGAAGGCTTATTCATGTTCATGACATGTGTTATGTCATGTTTATGAAAGTGTCATGACAGTCTTATTCAACCCCCTTCAAATAAAGTGTTACCATTTTTTTCACTGTTATGCAGATAACTGTCTGATTTAGCTTCCTATGAAGTCTAACTGCCTGAGGACTAACATTGGACACCACTGTGCTAGAAGATTCAACACCAAGAAATACATGCATTTGCTCAACTGTAGCTTATTAAATTGTTCTGAAGCCGAAATGCTCTGATCATTAAAGAGAACCAATAGTAAACGAAACAGGAAAAGCACCATCCTTTTAAATGCACAAGTTTAAATTTAATTTATCATGAATCACAAAAGTAATTTTAGAGACAAACCTTTAAAACAATCTGAAGCGTATCTAATTTATTATTCTTTATGCTACACACACTCAAACATTTCCCTTCACGTCTACACATAACACATCAGAAATGTAAAGAACTGAAAAAAAAAAAACTAAAGTCAGATTTTTCCCTATCACTTGAAAAACACAACAAACGCCTCTAAAGTAGGCATGCTGGTGTTGTATGCTGGCTCTGTTTGCTGTGGCAATATAATATGTTTTTGTTCAAATGACCCAGTCAATGTCTGTTCTACAAGGGATAAAGCAGTGAGTTTATATGATAGTGTGACCCACAGCAATAGTTGTGGGAAAATATTATTGAATATAAATTTCACAACTACAACACAAATCTTTCGGAAGCATTTGTTGTTCAGTAACAAAATGATTTAACAGGACAAATTAAGTTAATAAAACCCTCTCAGGTTTAAAATGTACTTCTGGTTTTCTGAAAAGGCTCATTTTCCACAGCAGTGACATAATCAGGGAATTCAGGAGAGACTTTATTATGCTGAGTGTCTATCACTCAACACTGAAGCTCATGAGTGTGAGTGTCTGTGTTTCAGCGTAGGAAACAAAATGTGCAAATACATGTGTCTGTGAGTGTGTAATTGTATATACTGCATATAGAGAACCACTTTCATAGTACTTACCGACAAAGGGAGATCTTCTGTGAAAAGTGACCTTTTCCCAGTCCTCACATTTTTTGCATTTCCACTACACTCTACTAGTTCAGTTTAGAGGTATTGTGGTCGAAGTTTTGGTTCAGGTTAGGGGTAGAGTTGGGGAAAATGTACAGGTCAGGTGTGAATGCAGTTAAATAAATGGAAGTTAATGCAAAGTCCTCAGTTTGTATGGAACTACAAGGGTGTGTTTGCATGTATAAACCAGGTTTTTATATCCTTGTGGGAACCTATGTCCAGAATGTAGGGTTGTGGGGACATTTTCTTGGTCCCCATGTGGGAAAATGCTGTTTTCGGGTTAGTGGTTAGGACTGTGATGGCTAGATTTAGGGTTTTGGTTAGAGTTAGGTCTATGATAGTTAGGGGTAGGGTAAAGGTTATGCTGCAGAAAATGAATGGAAGTCAATGTAAAGTCCCCACAAGTCATGAAAACACGACCGTGTGTGTCTGTTTGTTTGGTGGGTTGCATAACTGTTGCAGAAGTAGACAAAAGAAACCTGAAACAGTTACACCTGGAGTAAAACAGAATCACTAATGGCCTTGCAATGGATCCAAAGGAGCAACTGTTGACATTTCAATTCAGTTGAGATTTGAGCAAAACTGAGAGCAATAAAATATTTTGTTTTCCATTATTCTTAGTAAATTATAAGCATTGTGCCTTTTGCTTGTTCTTAAATATATTATCTCTTCAATTGCAAGGGATGCTTCTCATGTTTCTTGGTATGAAACAAGTTATCTTTCATGGGGTGAATGTTTATTTTTTACAGATCCCTAAAAGAAGAAAGAACGAATGAGCTATATGTAGAAGTGAATGTACCTCTTCCAGCTGGCAGGCCTTAATGATGGAAGTGTAGCGAAATTCGTCATAAGTTAGGCCGAAAAGGATGTTGTCACGAATGGTCCCTGGCATTATCCAAGAAGTCTGCGGTGAATACGAAACCCGACCACTGTGTCTAATTTTGCCCTCTGATGGCACCAGCTCTCCCAGGATCATCATGAGGAGGGAACTCTGAAGAAAACAGGGAAGGGCTGGAACACGGATTTCTACAACATTTTAAGCTCGAGATAAACAGGGTTTGGTCATATCCTGCAGCGTTTTACAGTCTTAGCATTTCACTTACAGTACTCACATTACATATTTTTAATATAAAGAGCATAAGCACTGCTTTAACTATTTGCTTGAAATACCTTTCCAGACCCAGTAGATCCAGCCACTCCGAGCATCATGCCTTCCTCTAAGCGTAGGTTGATGTTTTTGAGGACAGGTGTGATGTATAAGTTAGTGAAGAACAGTCCATCGTCACCGGTCATGTGTCCATTTGCTTTGTTCTCCCGCTTGATCTTCTCAAAGAGCTCAACAATACCCTGCAAGATAATTTAGAGTTTTTAGTACAGTGATGAAGACACACAGGTATTTACAGTCCTTAATACCATAAAGATACCAGTCCACCTTTGACTTGTAAGAGCTTACCATATCGTACTACCTACACATTAGCATAACTTGCTAATGTGTAGCAATTTTCTTTTTCCTTTTTTCTTTTTTTTTTTTTACATTGCTTTGGAAAATTATTCATATCTCTTGAGGCTTTTCACATTTTTTTATATTACAACCACATAATGTTTATGTTTTCTTTTGGGATTTGAAGTGGAAGCTGAAGGATGAATGATTTGCAATGTTTTTTGTACTCCAATACCCCAATATCAAACTGTTGACCAAAAGTTGTTATGATTAGCAGGAGTACCATATCAATCCCTCAAAAGGTCAAATAACATCTAAATTAGATAAGTGAACATTCCAGAGCAGGACCGGTGAAGAGAGAGAAGAAGGAAGTTCAGACCATTTCACCATCACCATGACATGTCTGGTTAACTAAATAAACATTATCAGGAATGTAATATTATGTGTTTTGCTGAGATCTGCTGATCGACCAGAGAAAATCATACAAATGTCAAGGATGTCAAGGACACATCGCTCTTGTATGTAGGAGGTCTAACTCCTCTTGCCTCTTGTTTTTCTTTACTTGTATGAACGCATTATTCAGAGGTAACCTATGATAAAACAGTTGTGCAAAGATGGTCAGGGGAAGCTGAAGAAGGTGTGTGGGGTCATTTTTAGGCAACAGATTGGGATGACATGGAGATGACTACGTAGACAACGCCATGCCAAACAGAACGGTGATTTGATTCCCCAATGATAAATGTCTGGTTACTACTGACCTGAAGGAAATGACTAGCGAAAAAAAAGTGTGGGAGACAAATAATTACTGAGGAGTTTCAAAAGCAACTTAAAATTGAGATTGGAGAACATGCATTACACAAATATGGAGTTTACAGAAAAATGGGATTGCTGAAAGAAAAGTCCATAAAAGTCTTAGTCTGTTTGCCTATAAGCAGAATAGTTTTCAGACTTTTCTGCCTCATCTTGTTCTTTCAGATAATGAAAACTCCTCTGAGTCTGAGGAAAAGAAGCACAAGGACAGGAGAAGACTCACAAAGGCCCACAATAGCCTTTTTCAACTCATCTGTCACTGCCTCTGAACAGATTAAAGGATGACGCAGAGCTATGCTAGAAAAGGGGAACCCTGTGTGACTGACTAGGTTATTCATTGACCCCCCCGTGACGTTTTATGGGCCTAAGCTCCAGTAATGCCAGTATTGGTTGTAGTTTGTCATGAAATTCTCATTCTAATGAGCTGACGTACATGCTGTCAGCTGTAATGAAAAAAGGAAGAACAACAGCCCCCTTGACATTTGTATGCGAATCCACACATTCCAGGAAGAGTGTAAAAACAGAATTTGGGAATTGGGTAATGAACACAGAGTCTCAGAGGGAAAACTAGAGTGTTCCCAGCAAAGTGGTGACACCACCTGGTTAATTAACTATGCAAAGTGAGGGATTGCCGGGCGTCTGTTTTCTCACGGTATTGGGTAGACAATGAATCACACCTGTTAGACTAGGTTTACAGCCTTCGACTATAGATAAGAAATTACATTCCTCTCCTGGTGACAGTGAGGAATGAACTTTTACACCTGTAACTCATTGTGGATTAAGGAGCTGACTTTCCTCAGCGCCGTATTGCCAGAGCTTGGCATAATGATAGACAAACAGGAACAACAAAATTCTCCCACTAAACAGACCATTGCTGGATTTCATGCTGACATACTGCAAGACAGTATATTTTTTTCTCTGAACAATTATTACTAATATGAATATCAGATGAAAAAACATGGCAGCATCTGTGGGTAAAATTATTATTTGTCCAGAGATGATTCATCTTTAGCTTTTACAGTATAAAATGTGTTAAATAAATGAATGATTAAACCTCTGGTTTGTGCCTGTTGAGTTGTATTGTCAATCCATATCAATGAAAACAGCTTGCAGCAGCATGCATTTTACATTCTTGTAGACTGGTTCATTTAAAATGACATTTTACATAATGCATCAGAATGACGACAGCTTATTTAAAAATATGCTTTAATTTTTATCATCATATTGTTTTGCTTTTAAGCAGACTGTGAATAAAATCCATATTTTTAGCAGAGACGGACATTTCATGAAAGACATATGGTACCTTTACTTGACAAGAACACCATTAACAAATGTTTCAAAGTGACTGACTTGTAAAAGAAAGTTCTGCACCACTGCGTTACCTTTACAGGGGTTAGAGCTTAACTTGAAAAGGGGGAATGAATTATGAAAGCCTGGGTTGTTAATAAGAAGAGCTTTGCAGGCCTTATTAAACAGGACAAAGACTTGGATTCTCAGGTGTCTAACTGTGAATATCAAGGTATCACGATACGAAGCAGCAGTACCTGTACCCAAGACAAGTTACATTGCAGTCATTCTGGTCTAAAAGCTGAATTAGTTCATTCATTACAAAGTGAAAAGGTATTTCTGTCAGGTCAAAACTGTAAATTTTAACAAAAATTTAGTCTAAATGTGTCATATTTAAAACCGTCCTTTCAAATTTCAGACTCTCAGCTTTAGAACAGCCAAACACTGACTCTTTTTTGTTTACAAATCAGAATTATTGTAACAACCCAACTGCAAAAACAATGAAATGGGTTCATTCATATGAACTTAGACCGCTTTTACACCAGCCAGATTTAAGTGATCAAAAACATAAATTAAATATTTGCTTCATGGACTAATGCCTAAATGAGAAAAAAAGTTTAACCTTTACATTCTATCGAGCTCTAGGATTGTCCAAGTGTTGAACTGAGTTTGAGAACAGACCTCATCCCAGGATGCAGAGACATTGATCAGCTCCAATCCAACCGTGGTCAAGCTGTAATCCATTACTTGGTATTCTTCCTTAAGCAGGAAATCCTGGAAGGGAAACACACATACACACACACACACGCACGCACACACACACGCACGCACACACACACATGCAGCATGCACAATATCAATGTTTCCTTCATAATGATGTTCAGTAAAGCTTCAGATGTCAAGAGCAAAAACTAACATTTTACATACAATTTTAAAAATCAAAGCAACAATCACAACCATTTAACACCAGCTTTATTAGATATTAGTTTCAGATGGAATGCAGTCCTTTCTTGTGTGAGACACACTAATACCTGAATGTCAAATTACATTATTTGAAACAGAGGTATCCCTAAAAGTTACATAAATTCTTAAAAATAGATCAGTGTGCTTAAAAAAAAACACATACAAAAAAAACAGATTCTGCCTACCTCGATCTTCTGGACCAGTGCCAATGTGTCGTACCACATCTGGATGGAGCCTGGCAGCTGGCGGGTGAGCGTCATGCGTAGCACGACGCAGTATGACGCTGTGGTGAAAATCCGCCGCAGTATGATGCCGTTACTGAGTGCATGCGGAACGATGGCCGATATGATAACCAGTATGGCAGAGAAAAAATATGAAGCACTGTAGAAATAGCGCAGAGAGCCAATCTTTCTGGTTAAAGTCATTTCATCCCTGAAAGGAGAAGAAAAATTGACATTTTAGGTAAATATATTATCATACACAACTATTACTGTACACTAGGAGTGAGTGCACTGCAGTTTTTTGTCCAATCAGCAATCTTTAAGAAGCCTGACATGCCAATTCTGATTTTGGGTAATACCAATTTTTTTTTTTTTTTTTTTTTTGCGTTAAATATAGCTTCAAAGTAATGAAGTTGGGAACAGGTGGATGACGGCAGGGCAAATTAGGGCAGTGGCTGATTTTCTTACCTTTGCAGAGGTAGATAAGATCGGTTGATAATATTGGTTTCAGATATTTGCATCAGCCAGTCGCTGATTTCCCAAAATTCAGGAAATCAGGGCCGATTTATTGATAGACCCCTTCATTATTCAATATCATGTACATCAGTTTCTTCATATTTGATAATTAAGGTAGCAAAGTCATTGCTGTAGGCATTGTTGGAGCCTTTTTCTATTACCTTGTGATATTACAACTGTAATGCTGAGGACTGAAAATTTAGATTATTAATATTTCTAGAGAATGAAAGAGCTGAACATCTGTCAAATGTGTAACATATGAAAACTGTTTTAAAGAAAGAGTATCAAAATGAAACAAGTAGGAAGTATCAACAGGCAATGTTGAGCAACTCTGACAATGAAATCAATAAACCTATAAGATTTATAACTGGTTCCAGGAGCCTCTATCATAATGAAGTATATTACTAACAAACCAGCAAATCAGCTGATTTACTAAGTAAGAAAAATATATTTAACACACATATAATTTCTGTGAAACTCAATTCATGTATCCTTGATATTAACACCAGATAATAGCACAGATATGTTTCACAGTATCTGTGGATGACCTTTCCACACTATAAATTACATAATCAACCCAAGACTTCTGCATCAGAATCTTACACTGAAGGGTCAAAATCAATGTTTTCTACAATAAAAACTAGATTTTCAAGCTTGGGGGGAAAAAACCAACAATATTTCCAAAAATATTTTCCCAATTTTAAAAAGGTTTTTAAAAAGAAGCATTGGATATTATTACACATAATTAATATCTTCATTTTTTTCCTGTTAAATTGAATGGCAGGCCTCCCCTAGCATAACAGCATATGACTGATATGAGCAGTGACTAAATAAAATGGCAAATTTAAAAAAGAAAAATCAAGGAAAAACATGTTTTAATTGATTTCCTTCTTTGTGGTTATAGTGAGTAGTGTTGCCTTACTGTCTGATGTTTTTGATGATGGTTTCCATCACTTCCTCCCAGCCATACGCCTTTACCGAGTGAATGTTCTCCACAATCTCAGAAGTAAGAGCCAGACGTCGGTTTATGAGCCCGGCACGTTTTGCCCTGCATGCATCGGAACAGAAACAGCATACAGAGTAACAATTTTCAAGTTTACATGTTTATCTACACTAACAGGAAGCTACAGTTTAAAAAAAGCAAAGAAATTATTTGATTTGAACAAAGATTTACAATTATAGTAGTGTTGATATGTTCTATGCTATACTAGTAGACTTGTATTTTGTGTGTGCGTGCATGCAAGCGCGCATGCGTGTGTGTGTGTGTGTGTGTCTGTGTGTGTGTGTGTGTGTGCGTGTGTGTGTGTGTGCGCGCGCGCGTGCGTGCGTGCGTGTGTGTGTGGTGACGTGTTCTCACCTAGGAGGTCCCATCTTCAAGGACAGCCACGCTTGGAGAATGCCCAGAAGAGTGAGAGCTGCCAGGGCACAGAAGCCGTTCACCTCGATCAGCTCCCAGATCAAACCAGTACACAGGATACACTGCAGAGGAGTGATCCACACAAAGTGTGCTAGACCGAGGCTCTGGAATGTAAACACACACACACACACACACACACACACGCACACGCACATACGTACACACACAGAGTAATGTTTAATGAGAGTAAAGAGGCACATTGCTGTTGCTTTTATACCCTGAGTGAGGGAGGAATCTTTGAAACAACAAAAAACTCAACAATCAAATCAACAACCTAAAAATCCTTTAATTAATGTTAATATTAACCGAGAAAAGCACAAACTGAATTATAGGAAAGTAATATCATGGAAAATTTGTGTGAACCAGGAATACTTTATCCCAGCTACTTTCACTAACGCCACCAAAACATCCACCAAATGCAAAGTGTCAAAGCCCAGAACCCACATCGAAAATCCATGATTTTCTGCCATAATGGAGAATAGTTCAGAAGATTACAACATTTTGGGGATGTGGTGAGAAAACTCCCCTCTGTCTCTAACATGTGGCTTTGACAATAATCACAAACTGTGACCAACGACAAGCACTAATATAAGAACGGCTCACCAGCAGGGTTTGGCCTAGAAGTAGATTTTCACCATTTCAGAGAAAATGAAAGAAAGCAATTAAAGAGCACCAGCAATGTACAGACTTACAACATAAACTTGCATACATTTAAAGTATTACTAATACTAGTCTTTAAAACTCATGAAAATTGTTTTGATTGTGAAGAAACATATAAAACGACTAGTGTAAAAATGTGTCACAAAACAACATTTGGCCATAAGTTTTTATAGCCAGAACTTATTTTCAAGATTTTTTTTATTATTTTATTTGCTCTTATTTTTATTAGCATGTATTTTAACAACATACAGTCTGCATATATTTTAAGGCAGCTTTATCTTTTTAAGGCTACTTATACTAAAGAGATATTTCTGTAGAAAACTGATAATTGGTTTTGCAGCTTTCATTTTATTTCCATCAATCAAAAGTGAAGCAGCACAATACAGCGCAAATCTATCAATATCACAATATGAGCATATGTAATATAGATATAAAGAAGAACTGAATGGACTGCAATAAACACAAACTAATTATTTCATTCAGATTCAGATTCTCTAAGCACGTAAGATTTTTGGTGAGACTTGTTGTTTAAGGCAGTGAAGATGGTCAAGTCATTTGGTAACCAAAAGTTGGCCAAAAGAATCTTTTGCAATAGCTCGTCATTGTTGAGAAATTTTTCCCTCAAGTTCTCTTTTGTCATTCCTTCTGGCTTTTAATAGGATTTAAACAAAGGGGGAGGATAAATCAGAGTCAGATTTATTTCAATTTTATTTTATTTTAACATCAAGATCTGAGCTCTAAGTTGGGAACACTTTTGTTTTAATTTTTTTTTTTGGATTTGTCATTTCATCAAGCCTTTTTTTCTTTCTATTCTTACTGCTTGTTTGGCAGCATCAGTCCTCCATAGAAACAAAGAGCTTCTAAAAAAAACTCAGATACAGACGAAGGAGAAAGAAGAAACGGAGGCAAGAGGGACTAAAGATCCAACCCAAGGAGTTGGGGAAAGAGGCAACAAATTAAAGCACTGTAAATAATTCAGATTTTCTCTGATTAATTTAACTATTTAGAAATGTATCTGTAGTTACTGTTTCAAGTTGTATCATTTCTTTCTGAATATTTTTCTATTCTTACAAATAACGATGTTCTGTCTTTAAGACCTTTGAGGGAGAAAAAAGAGAGAGCAGCTAAAATGACAACCAGGAAGACAGAAGGAGACAACAAATTAAGAGTTGATCATGAGACAATGTCAGTCAAGCTTATGGGTCATACTCCTATGTGAAACACGTAAGGAGGGAATCCATCCTCCCATTTTAAAAAGTGAATTCCAGGCTGAAATGTATGCTATGATTTTATAAGTGAATCCAGGACTGTACATGTGATGCATGACTATTAACAATGAATAAAGTGACAAAAGCAGCACAGTGAAGCGCACCAACTCTCACGTTTCAAGAATCCACTTTCATCAGTTCTTTCCTGCTGAGTCTCACCTGTACTGCAGGTGCAGCACCAAGTGATGCCCTGTTATCCATTTACTTGCAAGTTTCCTCCTTTCATTAATAAAGCACCCCACCATACACACACACACACACACACACACACACACACGCGCGCGCACATACGCAGACACACATAGATGCAGACACACACACACGCGCTCACACACCATGTAACTCTGCACCTTTGTATTGGGTTGGTCACATGTAAGCTAGGTGATAATTGCCCTGAAGCAGATTGCAGAGTGTTTCTACATTCAACGTCCTGGTGACACCCCAACAACACAACTGACAGCACACACACTTGTGCATACCCGTCAGCTGTTCAGCATAGCCTAGCATTTATTTTCCAACCTGTTAAGTTGGTTACATGAAGCAGCGTTAATGGACCCACACTTGGTTGACTCTGTGTTGTGTCCCCTCATTCTCAGAAAATAGACAACAGCTGGGTGTCATAATATAAGGGATGAGGGTGATTGCATCAAGATGACACCTGTTGACCTGTTGTCAACTTTTACATTTAAGCTGGATTTACAGCTTACACTAAGCAGTGATCCAAACTCTAACCTGAGGGGATATTTCACTGGTTCCTAGTTCCTAACTTTCTTTTCTCCTACCTCATCCAGCTTGTTGAGGTGGGCAGACATGAGACTGACGAGCTGCCCGGTGCTGATCTTATCCAACACCCTACTGGACAGCTTGAGTGTCTGAAAAGAGTAAATATTGGTAGCCAGTTGAAATTCAACGATCATAAAAGAATTTGGAAGGAAAGTTTGTCACACTGAAAGATTACTGGAATCTCTTTCTCATACCTTTTTGTATATGAGGCTAAAGAGGGCAATGCGAATCTGCATGCCGAGGTGATGCAGGCCGTAGAGGGCGGGCTGCAGCAGGATGAAGCGAGCAGTGAAGAGGAGGCCAAGCCCCAGGGCCAGGTAGTACCCCTGACTTCGCTCCGGAGCATGGAAGGGGTCAAAGGAAGCAATGATGCGACCTGAAAGCTGAGGCTGCACAGTCTTGGACGCCTCCTACAAAAGAAAGACAACACATCAACACACCAACAGGTTACTGTCGCTTATTTCACCTCAAGCATACCAGTGCGAAGTAGAGATCCCAGATCTGCTGCTTGAGATTGATTATTGATTAATATCAAGGTTGAAAAATACACTCAACTCACAGTGTCTGCCTATTGTCCAGGGTTTTACATTTTTTGTCATTTCCAGTGTTTTCATTGAAGGGTATTAGAAGCTCCAGTGAAACCTACATTCAATAGGTTTCACTGGAATGTAGGTTGACAATCAACTCTTTTTTTCTTTTTGTCAACATGTTTTTCCACACCCTAGCTTTTATTAACAGTATGGTGTGATCCAGTCAGAGTTCTGACATGAACATGATAGAGATTTTGTAGAGAGAGCAAAAAATTAGGTCTAGAAGGCCTTTCAACCTAAAAGACTTGGAGTTCTATTTCCAAAATTTATGATAAAAATATGAGTGAAAAACCTGTGAAAAGCTGGTTGGCCATAATCAGAAACTGGAGAGCTGGGTCAGACTCTCTGGTACAGAACTTAACTGGTTCAAATCTTACCTAAAGAACAGGGACTTCCTTGTATCAATAGGACAAAGGTCACATGTTGGGTACCCCAAAGGTCCATAATGGTTCCCCTCCTATTTGATATCTACATGCTCCCACTAGTTCAGGTTATAAAAATATATTAGATATATTATATTAGACAGGTAGTTATGCAGATGACGCACAGCTCTACATTACGATGTCACCAGGTGACTCTGAACCCATCACAGCACTGAACAGATGCTTAGAACAGAACATGTGTGGATGTTTCAGCTTCACCTACTACTTCAATTATTACATGGAAACTAGAGATCAGTCTGAAATATAAGAGTAATGATGAACTCTGACCTGAACCTTCAGAGCCACATAAAAACAGTTACAAAGTCAGCCTTCTATCACTTGAAGAACATTTGCAGGACTAAAAGACTAATGTCTCAACAAGATCTTGAGAAACTCATCCATGCGTTTATTTTTAGTTGCATTGATCACTGTAACAGGTCTGCCTAAAAAGTCAAGCTGCAGCTGATGCAGAAAGCTGCTGTTGGCTTTCTCACTAAAACCAGGAAGAAAGAGCACATCACCCAGTTCTAAAGTCTTTCCACTGGCTCTCTGTAGTTTAGTGAACATACTTTAAAATACTTTATTTAGTTTATAAATCACTGGATGGCTTAGCACCACAAAACATTAAAGACCTGTTGTTGTATCAATCTTCCAAACCTCTCAGGTCTACCTGTTACAGTCAACTTTGCATCCCAAGACTTAAAACCTAACATAGAAAAAACAACATTCACTTTTTATCTGTAACAAACTTCCAGAAAAGTGCAAAGCTGCTGAAGCACTGAGTTACTTTAAATCAAGGCTAAAACTCCATCTGCTTTCAGCTCCCTTAAATTAATAACTGAAACATCATGAAGATGCTGTTTTTCCACCTGTTATCATTTTCTTTTATTTTGCACCGTAATGATTTTTGCTTGTTTGTTGATTTTTTTTGCTTCTAATCATGTAAAGTTTTTTGAATTGCCTCAATGTTGAAAATGTGCAACACAAATAAAATTTCTTGACTTTTTTGTTTGAAGGTAAGGACACACATCAATTCATAAAGAGTTAGCATATCTACAGCTACATCTCAGTAAATTAGCATAAGCACTCACATGAGGCTTGTTCATCAGATTAAAAACACATTTTGAAAACAAGAACCTTTAATCTGGTATTCAACATGTTGTTCATGAACCCCTTATTTCCATATTAAAATGTTTTTATTGGTTTGATGTAATATTCAAATTTTAAATGTTGTGTTTTTATTAGCTGCTAACAAAAACCCATCATAATTAACATAATAAATGCTTGAAAACAGCAGTCTGTGTGTAATTAATCTATAAAATGTGTTTCACTTAGCAAACCAAGTTACTCAAATAAATGAACCTTTTAAATATATATTCCTTTAACAAGAGACAACTGTATTTGGCAATGCCTTAAGGTATAAAATAATTTGCAATAAAATATGCAAGAAATTACATGAATGATTCTTTTTTGTTTTAACAGGAAACTTTTTAAAGAATTATTCCTTCTAGATACAAAATAATAAAACTCCCATTTCTCTTTGTGATGTTACTGAAGCTGTCTTCACTCATTAAAAAAATAATGCCTGAAATCATCAGTTAAAAAAGATGACTCATAATCCATTCAGTCAGCAGGATCAACAATGTCTACAGGATAACCGAGCAAAAATATGTTGACTTGAATCAACTTCTTTCAGAACAGCTTTGCATTCCCACAGTGTCCTCTGTGGATCTAACAAGCATTCCTGTTGTCCAGACAACGAGGTCCCACTGTACAAAGTCACCCAAGTAGCTGCTGCCCTGTCCCCCTCGTATATCTGGGACAATAACACTGCAGTGCAACATGCCTGTCATCTTCAGTCGTTGCTCCACTGTAGCATTATTGGTCTTGTCTAGCGGGGCAACACGCTTGACACAAAACACACAAGTACTCAGTGGTGGAGCCGCAGTGGGGTGAAATTTGTTATAAATTTGTTATAAAATAATTACTGATTTCACTTTAAAAATTAGGTAACTTTATGTTATTAAAGGTAAAGTTTAAACAGTAATGATTTCTTGGTTAATGTCAAGTTGTCATAACAAAGACATTTTGAATAATGTCAACTTTGTATTAAAAGTGTCATAATTTACCGAATGACGCTTTATGACAGCAGTCATAAATATTCATGAAGGCTTATTCATGTTCATGACAGGTGTTATGTCATGTTTATGACAGTGTCATGTCAGTCTTATTCAACCCCCTTCAAATAAAGTGTTACCAATATATATTATATTAAAAAAAGCATTAATATAAAAATAATTTCCTTGCTATATAATGTTTTCTCCAGTCTTCACTGTGTGTTAATTCAGAAACAATGGGTTGTAAATCCATCTAGTTCACTCCCCATGAGATCAGAGTGGAAGCGTGTACATACCCCTCCCAGTTAGAAAAAAAAACACCATGCTGCAAAAAAAGAAAAAAAAAAAAAGAAAAAAAACCCTTCACTGGACCATAAACTGACCATAAACTGTAGAAGCTGGAAGAGGCAATAAGCATCAAAACACTTTCTGAAATGTGTTTTTTCAAGTGCAATAAAACCAAGAGCTAGATCATCTGATACTTGCGTAACATTTTAAATTTGCAGCATTTTTAACAAAAAGAGTTTGCACAGTGTGTACCATTGGTGCTAAGAAACATCTACAGACAAACAAGACTCACCCCGAAGTAGAGGAGGACACCGAAGAAGGCAAACGGGAGGAAAAAGCATCGCGCCAGTGCTTTCAGCAGCTTGGGCCTGCCTTTGGCCAGCACCACCTCTTTGTCCCATTCCCTGCAGGATAGGCAGAGTTACAGCACAGTTAAACAGTAATAGGACAATATGCCTACCAGATGAATAGCAGCAAAGTTTGTCTCTGGTTGCTATTTGTGTATTACTACTTTTGTGAAAAAGAAAAAAGAAACATGTTTAGGAATCTGTTCAACAAAATCTACTGACATGTAGTGGTTGTAGCTTGTTGATATCGGCCGTCCATTGCGACACAGGTCAGCAAATTTGTTTAGAAACAAAAGTGGATAATATGGTAAAAAATTAATGGTAGAATTCAATTAAAAATTTAAACAGAGGTAATTGAAGGTTTTGTAGTTAATTAATCGCATTTTAATTGGAAACTATATATTGACCAAAAAAGCAGCATTCTGATTTCAAAAACCCTTTTTGCTTCTAAAGTATTGAATAAAAAGTCATTAGAGGTCAACAACAAAGATATTTATTGTTTTTAATGTGATAAGCTATTAAACCATCAGCTTGATGCAAAGTGCTGTTATATCCAAGGTTATATCCACTCAGGTTTCCAGTTATTCAGGAATTCCTGGTCACTCATGGAACTTCTTCAGAAACAAGAAACGTTAGCATTGGGGACATCTGTGCTGCTGCTACATGTTTAGCATTGAGATGCTATTTTAGGCTTGAATAGCTTCACTGATGGGCTAACTAACACAACTTAAACACAACGACAGTCTTTTGCAATCAGACTGTTTTTTTTTTTTTTGAAGCAAAAGTGAACACCCACTGGGACAAGAAAAAAAGCTTTGTCATCCAATGTCATCGTTTGTGGATGTTGTGCCTCAGATTTACGAGTGTACCAGAAACGCGATTCCGCTCTGAACTTTTGTATGAAAAAAAGAGAAAATAAAAAGTGAGTAATGGCTTTAAATTTTTTAACACATTAAAATCTATGTAATTAATTGACATTAAGTTCAATTCCTGGCCCTAGTAAAAACATAATACTGCACTTTTTTAGAAGTAAAATAAAACCATTGTTTTATATTATGATTACACTCAGTGAAATTATAATAAAATTTACATCACAAAAACGTTCTAAGCGGATGTCACACATTGTAAAAAAAAACAACTGTATAATCTGTGTAAGTGGATAGGACAGCAACAGACAGAATGTCTCCCACAGATGATATCACAATCTCTCTCTGAATTGGCAGATCTCTAGCCCTTCATAATCTAATGTCATTCTGCTCATGGACACATGAGTGGAAAAGAAGATATTTAGGACAAAAAATAGTAAATAGAAAGCTACAGTGAAACTTCATGATGGAGTGGCTCATCATTTACCCTCCTTAAAAGCACACTTTTAAGGAGGGTAAATACACAAGTCCTCAATGTTTGCCGATCGAGAAGACTGAAACAAACAAAAAAAAAAAAAATACAACCACTGCTCATTTATCACCCTGTAGGCACACTGACATTTGTTAAGGCTGACTTTTTAAACACCCATCTGTATTTACTGGTCTGTTGGCATCACTCAGGTGATAAGCGCCCCTGGGAGACCAGCAAGTCCAAGGTCGATGTGCGATGCTGCAGCTGTTTAACACTGAAAACTAAATCTGATAACTCTAAAAGGAAAGAAAAACTCTTCCAAAATTATGTTTCTTTTTTTTTCATTATTCTACGAGGTCAATCTGGAACTGTGAGACAAAAGGAAAAACATGCAAGTAAGATGTCAAAAAAAAATCTTCATCCACTAGTAGTTCCAATACCTGACGCTAAGTGAAATCTGTCATTGAGATATAATATAAATTAACGTCTGATATTTTGCAAGGAAGAAAAAAATAAAACTGAAAAAAGAAAGAGAAGTGGTGAGTAAGACGGAAAAAGGACAGGAGTATGAGATCAATAAAACGTTTGTTGGCATACACAGGTTTGGTTTGTGTCTAACTCAGTTTCAAATGCCAGCCCATATTTTAAGTGTGTTCAGAAGAAAGGATGGCATGTGGCCAGCTACTGTAAACACACGGAAAGGTCAGACGCACAATTTCAAAACGAATTTAGAGATTACAGCCTCTAAACCAACTCATCCTCAGTGAAACTCTCACTTCTTTACATTCAGCTTGCAGTAGATATGTGTAAGAGACACGCATGGTCTTCAAATTCCTCACAAACACACAGACTTGTGTTTCCTCTTCTTGTCTTTTGCTAAGATGTATGTTAGACAGTTGAGGGCAATAACTAGACTCTATGACAAATTCCTGCAGAGCTTTTATTCAATGTTATCAAGCCATTCTTGTAGCACAGGGCAATAAATTCAGTGCAATAAATGCTGATAACAGTTTTGGAGATCCAATTGCTGCTCGCATCAACACATCAAACCACACAGCAATTAAAGTCAGATCAGATTGTGGAACTGAAGCAAGAGGATTTTTTTTAATTGTCTCATGGATTTTTGTCAGCCATTCTTAATATTTCTAATAGAAAACAAGCAAGATTACTGTTGACAAGTAAAGTAGAATATAAAGGAGGATTACAAAGTTAAATTTGGCTTAAATTACTCAAATTATTATGATTATTTTATGTTTGGTGAACTTGTTGAAGTGGTTTTCCCATTTGTTAAAACAGAAAATGAAGTAATGCTTTATTTTGACACTGAACAGAGTGCCTGTGCTTTAAGGCTGTCTTGGTAAAAGCGCACCCAAACCATTTTTTTTTACATGTTCACCTTTATATCAGAACCCTTTAATATGTTGTTTTGTGTTTCCATGACAACGTCATGCTCTGGACAAATTTCAGTCACAAGTTTTGGAAACCTGACAAAAACAGAAACTGTCTGAATCTAGTTAAGTGCAGCTAATAAGGTAACTTGTGAGGATAAAGTTTCTTGGCAAAGTATTAATATTTTTAATATTTTCCCTTTTCAAAACATTACAACTACAAACATTAGAGTATTTTGGGGGGGATTTTATATGATAAACCAACATTGTATGATTTCAAAGTAAAAGGTAAAAAAATCATCATTATTATTATTATTATTATTATTATTATTATTATTATTATTATTATTATTATTATTATTATTATTATTATTATTTTGGAACAAATAAAGATTTACAACTAATAAATTACAGATTTAAGTCTTTTGGGTTAAAAAAAAAAAGCCTTATATAAAGATTGGAATCTTTAGCCATTTTTCTCAGTAAAACTTTAGACACAATGGATGAAGAATATCTGTGAACAGCAGTTTATAAATCTTCCCACAGACTTTCAGGTCAGGTCTGGAATTTGACTGGGTTATTTTATTTCACAAATATGCTTAGATTTACCACAGGTGTCAAACTCCAGTCCCCTGGGGCCAGTGTTCTGCCACTTTTAGACACGTCATCTCAGCTTCAATATACCTGAATTACACAATTTTTTTTTTTTTGCATCAGAGATACAGAACATAGGCCTTTAATGACAGGAGTTTCACACCTATTGATCCACTAACCTGAAGCCTTCTGCAGCTTCTAATAAATTTTCTTTCAAAATTGCTTGGCATATTGCTCCATTCACCTGAAGAAAAGCATCCCAACAACATGATGTTGCCACAAATTTTTACCATATACAGCTCTGGATAAAATGAACAGCCCACTGTACTGAACCCCATTGAAAACCTTCTGGTTGTTCTTCTAAATATTGATTTCTGAACTCTTCCTGAGTTCAAACATTAGTATTGTTGTTTCTGAATTAATATGAACTTCTTTTCTTTGCATTAATTGAGAGCTGAAAGTGCTGCATCTTTTTTATTATTTTGACCATTTCTCATTTTCTGCAAATAAATAAAAAATTTTGGCTTGGAATTTCAGAGACATGTTGTCAGTAATTCATAGAATAAAAGAAGAATGTTAATTTTACTCAAACATATATCTATAAAAAGTGAAATCAGATAAACTGATCATTTTAAGTGGTCTCTTCCTTTTTTCCAGAGCTGTATATGTGGTGTGCAGGGTGACGTACAATGTTACTTTTTTGTAACACAGTACTTAGCAAGTTGTCCAGAGCCCCTTCCTCCACAAGTTTCCTACCTGGCACTCTAATTGGGACCTGATGGAGTTTTTCTTTTGTCTTTTGTTTTTTGTTTTGCTACTCTTTCCTTTCATTTAATGTTCAGCTACATTCACATAAAATCCCAAAATTAAATGACATTTTATGGCTGTTCTATGGCAACATGAGAAAAGTAAGTGTGAATAAAAATATTGCGATGCACAGACCTTTCAAGTCTCTCGGAGAGGGTGTCTGCCAGATCAAACGAGGGAGCCTTGTAGACATCAGTCAGCTCCAACTTCTTAGTGAAACCTTTCCTCAGTAGAGGAGATATCCACCTGGGGACGGGGGGAACCACAGAGTTGGCTATCAGTTGTTTGAAGCAAAGACGTTGCTCAACACACACAAAAGCTAGTTGCAAAATCATAAACAAATATGAGTTTAAATTGTCCTGGAAGTCTTGGAGTGGATGTCAGGCTTTCTCTAGTCTAAGGAAGGTGACACAAATTCAGCTAAAGCTGAACGCTTTTAGCTTAATTTAGACTGTTATTAGAAGCTCTGGTAGAAAAAACAAACTAGAATGTTTAATATAAACTATGCATAGTTGTAATAAGAGTAGATTTTTCATTTTTAATGGCAAGTGATTGGCTTGACTTGTTGGGAAAAGATTCAAGAAAGGACATTAAACCCGCTAATTTGGAGGTATTGACAAATGCTGAATTCTGCTTCCTTATTTCTAACATCTCATACCTGAAGTGCATATTACCAAACTATAGTCAATTCCTTTTGATCCAAAGGAGGAAAAAAGAAAAGGCTAAAACACAAATATCATGGTCAAGTGTAAAACACATCAGGTCTGAAATAAAAAATGACTTCCCCAAACTTTTTGTTTTTAAAGGGGTTTTTTGTTTGTTTTTGGCTTTCTCAGATTTGTCTTCTTCATTTTGAGTCCAGTTTCATTTCAGTTTTATGGGTTTACATTCCCAAAGAAGCAGCCCAGAATCACCTGCCTGCACATCGGAGCGCACCCCGAATTACGCACAACTTCCTTCAACGGCAGTGAAAATCCTATTTGTAGAAAGATACTTTGCGCACTTGCTGACATAATCCTGCTTCCCATTTGATAAAGTCACATCAAAGCCAAGGTCGTTTCTGAATGAAAAGTGAAGTAAAGTGAGGAATCCAGCCGGTCGCCGTCGCAACAAGCCGAAGAATGAAGCAGAGCCATCGCTTACCAAAAGACAAATCTAGAGAAGAAGTTTGCATCTTCCACCGGTGACTTCTGCATCCTAAGAGCCCCGCCAGTTTGGTTTCTCTGCACCTGAGGGTCCCTGAGTCTCGATCACATTGATGTGTCCCCCCCACGCAGCTCCGGAGGAAATTCAGACCGGAGGGGTGTGTGATTTTGTCCTCCCCTCTGTGCTGGGGCTTAAAGTAATGCTGCAGCTGCGTTATTTCCCTCCTCAGTCCCTAAACAGACCGCGATGTGAGTCCTGTGAAGGTGTCTCTGCTCTACCGCTTCCTAAGCTCTGTCCCTTTCTCCTGTTGGCTCCTTGGCACAATGCAGGGACAGTTCATCTTTTATTGGCTGACTCGCCTGAACTTGCGTTTGGACGTCATTTCCACGCCACAGAGCCTCAGGGTTGCATATTGTGGCAACAAGAATAGGTGGTAAAACCAGCTGATGTGAACTGACAAGCCTCATGATATTGCTATTTTCAATACTGAATTGCAATAAGAGCTTTATCAAATGACTTGTGCACTGAACTGCTAATGAATGCTGACCCACCTGGGGTTTTATACTGCAGTACATTTTGCTGTTTGCTGGTTGTCTCTGACTCACAAAAAAAGACATCAGAAACCGTTCTGGGACATTCAAACAAATTTGAATCATTTTTCCTTTTTCCTTTTTATCAGTGCCAAGTTACATCCGTGTCAGGAGAGGGAGGATCATAACCTGAAGGCATTCCTGAAGGGAACGGAGATAAAGTGCAGCAAGCCTTTGGCTTCTGTGTAACTCCTATCACCATAATAATAGTATCTTTTTTTTTTTGTTTGTTTTAGTTGGGTGGTTGTTTTGTGAAAGAAATTTTAAAAAATCCTTGAAGCTCATGTCGGCGAGGGTCAAACTCAGGGGTTTGTTTCTCTCTGCTGGCTCATGTCTGAAGGAAAACAAATGGACTATTCAGGGATTCAGGTGCCGTCCTGTCTCTTTAAATGACAGACATAATGATATATATGTAAAAGTTAAAATCGGAAGCAAGCTTACTGGTTAAGGAGTGCAGATTGTGCTTCAGATTACAGTTAGGACCACATACAGTAGGCTTTACTAATACCAGTTTAGTCAATGTGATCATAATTTATTCTGACACATTGGAGAAACCCACGTAAAGAAAGAGATTTATGCAAAATTTGTCCTCATGAAATACAGAACTCTTTAAATTTGCTTGAAGTAAAATAAACACAAAAAATGATTTAAAAAATTATTTGAGTCTGAGAACTCAGTAGAAACATTTCATATACTTTCATATACATATACATATACTCTTATGCTACGTTTACAGTGTTTTGATTCGTGTTTGTTTTTAAAGGTGCATTTAAACATGATTACATTGAAAGGAGAGAAAAAACGTGGACTTCTGCTTCGGGTTGCTTACAATTTTTGCTGAATAAAACAGCCTTGCCCAGAGGAAAGAGCGACCCCTTCTGGACGGGGTGTGTCAGGCTGCTCCCAGGTCAGGTTTGGTCTGTGCTGTTTTGGTAATGCCCTGGTCTGTTTTAACATGAATTAAATGTAACTTGAGACAGAAGCAAATAACCAGGTGAGGCTTTCAGCTTCCTTGCTTTATTCCTCTCTCCATCTTTAATCTCTGCATCTACCCTAAAGAGCAACATGTACTCCTGAAAATCATCAGAGAGCAGAAAAACCTGCAGGATGCTTAGCAGTGACTCTATGAGCAACCACCCAGGAATACATTAGAAAAACTAGTTTTAGGAGCTAAAGTTAGAAAGCTTTTACTCAGATTTCCTCAAATAAACAATCAGAAATACCTTATCTGGAAGCAAGGTGTGCTTCCAGATAAAACAAAGAGACAGATCTTTTCTGAAAAGCTGAAAAGTTTTTATTATTATTTATGAACTGTTTTAAATGAATTATTGTGCTTTTTGATGTTACTACTGCAAATGCATTGTTGTTTGAAACAAGTTGTCAGAGACAGTACTAACGTTTCTGTGTCAGCCTCATCTGATCACTTCAGTTTCAAATCCTCTTCTTTTCTCACTTTAGTTGCTCCCACTTATGAAGCATGATGCTGAATTCCAAGTAAGAAAAACAAGAGTGTTTATTTAGGAGTACAGCTGCTTGACCAAACTATTTAAATACACATTACCTGCTATAAGTGTTAGTTTCATAAGTGGTTGGAAATAAAAATGGAAAAGGGTTTCTACCGCCTAAAATGTGTTATTTTGTAATTATGTTATTTATTCATGTTCGTTTCTTTACATTTGAGTCTTCAAAACACCAGGCTTTGCACAGAACAATATTTTTGTCTGTCTATTTTTGTCTGTCAGACAAAAATATTACATCAGATGTTATAATCAGTTACTCTGTACTTGAATAGCCTTACTACAGAACACTCTTTAAATCTTACTTGAGCAATTTCGTGTACAGCTACTTTTTATTTTTCCTTGTTGAAGTTATGCAGCATCATTACAATAAGATGTGTGGCCATCCCCAAACAGTTTTAAAACCAAAACATAGATTCAAAGTTCAAACTTTTGACCTCAACAGCAAGACATTTATTTTTCTTTCCAAAAAAGTTTAAACTTTTGACCCCAAAGATTTAGACTTTTGGAATCAAAAGTATAAGTGCTAAAGTACAACATGTTATATACTTTAGCATGTAATTTTAATCCTGTGTAAAACTTATTTATAGTGCACCACATGAAATACAGAATTGGAAAGTACTTTCTAATTTAAAGTACTTTTAAAGAGATGACAGAGAAATTGCTGGAGAGAGCAAAGTTTTATGAAGCATAGAGCAATGTAATGCTGTTAATGCACCAGTTACTGAACACTGCCAGTAAACTGGCTGAAAGAAAGGTACATTTTCCCCTCAAGATAGCAAAAATATGGCTTAAAAGCTATATTTTAGCCACAGCGGATACTGGTGTATTTTTTCAGCAGAGCAAAGGAAGTCATCTCAATACACCTGCAACATGTTCCACTTTCATTAATTTATTATTATTATTTAATTTAATATGGTACGTCGTCACTTAACATTTACTCCGCCTCCTCCCTCCCTCTCAGTCGCCATTCTGTTTACTCATGTTGGCTTCCATTAGCTGTTAGCTGGAAATATGGGAAGCGTTAATGAGTTCGCCTTCCCGGCTGGAGATGAAAGCGACGCCAGCAACGACGAGTGGGACATTGGCTCCTTTTCGGAAAACAAGACTTCTGGCATAAAGGTTACTGTAAAGAAGTTTAAGTTTTGCTTGCGCCATTGTTTTTTAATGTTATATTTTAAAGCTATACCCGAATGGCAGCTCGGGGAAGTAACTCAAGCTAGCTTAGCAAACCTTTTTATTTTCGAAATGTATTTTTTTATATAATGTCAGTAAGGTGCTTTAGTGAAAAGGTCGTTACGAAGAGCAAACGCCATTTAAAAATATGATAAATTACAATAAAACGATTCAAGTATCAAAATATGCGAATCCGCCAAAGTTCTGCACTTTCTTGACTGTTCTCGACAGCTCAGCTGGGGCATCTTCGCACTTCTTGCCATGCCTCCATGCAGTCAATTTATTTAATTTCGATAAAATAGCTGCCAGTAGTAGGCATGTTAACCAAATACGTTTTCAGTCTCTATAGAAGCTTAATTAAGTTTAAAGGTTATATGCATGTACGGTAAAAATCGACAAATTAAGAGCCTTCATGTGGATAGATGTGGGGGGGAAAGTTAATCTGTCCAGGACGATGTAGATTGTCTTTACCTTCTGCAGAACAGTAAAAGGAAAACATGCAGCTTTAGGAAACTGACTATTTCATGTGTTCAATATAACATTATTTAGTGGGATTATGGTTATGTAAAATAAAGGTCACAACACACTTATCTAACTAAACACATTATGTCTTGTATAGGCCCATGAGGGCTGATGTTGAAAACTCCTGAGTTAAAACATCTCTGTTCCCCAGTCTAATCATTTAATCCACTTTTAATTTTCTACCCTATTCTGTCAGCAATAAAAACTTGACATTCAGATTATACTTGTGAAATATAAGGATAAAAACAGACAGTAGAAAAGATGAAAAGATTCATCTTGAAAAGAAAAGAAACAAAAGATGGGAATTAATACATGAAAGCAGAAACTCCCATTCTGTTCACACATGACAAGGCAATATGAATTAAAAACCTCACATAAAACTTTTGGATTTTTGAATATCAGGAGGATGCAAACTATAAATTATGATTGGTCAGGAATGGAGTAAAAATATGTTTGCCTTAAGAAAAAAAAAGCAATTATTTAAGTCTGTTTTAACATCAGTTTACAGCCTATTCAGCTGGAAAACTCAAATAGTGAACTTTTAGCTATGTTTACATTGCATTTGATCAACAGCAGAGGTCCATTAACATGAGGGACAGTTTTTAAAAAAAGTGTTTTAATGATTTACATTTTAAATACAGAACATGACAAAGGGATGCCTGTCAGAGTTACAGGTGTTTGCTGATAATTATTTTATTCTGTTTGCGTTTTTGTTTATTTTTCTTTTACAGCACTTTTTTACAGCACTTAGCACCACTTGTCTATGTGGCTGACCCTGTGTTTGTATGTAGACAGTGACGATTACCTCATTTTGAAGAGTCACAAAGTGGAAAACTTTTTTTTTCTTTAGTGAAATTTAAAAAGTAGTTGTTCCTCCTCCACCTCAATTGAAGGTAATGCTCTCCTTAGGCCGGAAGAAGAAAAGGTGTTAAATGGTCCGCACTAAACTGTCTCTCAAAAACTTCCAATTTAAAGACAAAAATAGTTTCTAATGACATATTAGTAAACCATAAGTTGAAAATTGCAATCACAGTGTCATCTGCGAATTAAAGTGAATGATTAAAACATTTAACCAAATGAATTAGAGGCTTTGATTAATTATAGTTCATCAAATAGCAATTTTTTTACAATCATGTAACTATGCTATGTTCAGTTGTTATAAAAATGCCGTTTATAAAACTTAAGAGAAATGTGACTTCGCAACCTGACATATTGAAATCAGGCCTTTGTCTCTCTAAGAAGCTTCTGCTCTTTTTGACACTGCTTTCAGCACGTCATCACAACAATGTTTCTCCTTACAGGCACTTTGAAAACTATCGAATACGTTTCCCATTTAGTACTACATAAAGAAGTGGCACAGATCATATTTTTATTTTTATTTGGGTGCAAAGATTGGAATTGAGCTGACCTGACTGCTGTGAAAAAGCTGAATATGGTTTGTATTTGCCTGCCGTGTGAAGTTAGCCTTGAATCTGTTTCTCAATTCCGGTCCTCAGGGACCACTATCCTGCATGTTTTAGGTGTTTCCCTTCTGCAACACACCTGGCCTGAATAAAAGGGTGATTAACATGCTTCTGCAGCGTTTGACGGCATGCAGG